AGCAGCTCCAGCGGCACATCGCCAGCATCACATGCATCATCCACATCAGCGCCTGCCAAGGATGCGGATGATGCAAGTGATGCTGGGGATGTTGCCCATGCTGGTGGAGGAAATGAGGGGGAAAGGATCTCAACAGCGAAAGGGGGGGAAAGATCTCAGGGAGGAAAGGGAGAAGATCTGGGGAAAAAATGCCTTAAGGGGGAAAGGGGGGAAAAGATCTTTGGGAGGAAAAGGGAGAAGATCTCAAGGGGAAAAGGACTTAGGGAGGAAAGCGGGGGAAAGATCTTTGGGAGGAAAAGGGAGAAGAACTGAGGGTGGGAAAAGGCCTTAGAAGGAAAAGGGGGGAAATAAATGATCTCAACAGGGAACGGGGGGGGGGGGGGGGGGAAGATCTTGGGAGAGGAGGAAAGGCAGATAGAAGCTTGGGGCAAAAAGGCTTAGGGGGAAAGGGAATAGGGGGAGAAATGATCTCAACAGGGAAAGGAGTGGAAAAGATCTTAGGGAGGAAAGGGAGAAGATCTGGGGAAAAAAGGCCAACAGGGAAAGGGGGGAAAGGATCTTAGGAAGGAAAAGGGAGAAGCTCTCAGGGGGGGGAAAGGCCTTGGGAGGGAAAGGGGAAAATATCTCAACAGGGAAAGGGTGGGAAAGATCTTAGGGAGGAAAGGGGGGGGGAAGATCTTAGGGAGGAAAGGGGGAAGATCTGGGAGAAAAGGACTTAGGGGGAAAGCCCAACAGGGAAAGGGGGGAAAAGATCTTAGGAAGGAAAACGGAGAAGGTCTCAGGGGGGGGAAAGGCCTTAGGGGGGAAAGGCCCTTAGGGGGGTCAATCAGGGAAGGAAAGGGGGTGAAAAAGATCTTAGGGGGAAAGGGGAGAAAGTCTGCGGGAAAGGGAAAAAAGGCCGACAGGGAAAGGGCTTTAGGGTGGGAAAGGGGGAGGAAAAGGACTCAGCAGGGAAGGGGGGGTCTCAGCAGGGAAGAAAGATCTTAGGGAGGAAAAGGGAGAAGATCTGGGGCAAGGCCTTAGGGGTGGGAAAGAAAGAGGAGGAAATTGATTCAACAGGGAACGGGGTGGAAAAAGAATTTTTTAGGGAGGACGGGAGAAGGATTGCCGGGAATAAGGCTCAAGGAAAGATCCTAAGGAAGAAAGGTGAGAAGCCTTTCCGGGGGGGGAAAGGCTTTGGCGGGAAAGCGTGGGAAGGATCTCAACCGGGAAAGGGGGGAAACAATCTTAGGAAGGAAAAGGGAGAAGATCTGGAAAGGCCTTAAAGGGAAGGGGGGAAAGGATCTGAACGGGGAAAGGGGGCAAAGGATCTTAAGGAGGAATAGGGAGAAGATCTCAGCGGGGGGAAAGGCCTTAGGAAGGAAAGGAGGGAAAGGATCTCAACAGGGAAAGGGGGGGGAAAGATCTCAGTGAGGAAAGGGAAAAGATCCAGGCAGGGAAAAGGCCTTAGGGGGGAAAGGGGGAAAGGATCTCAACAGGGAAAGAGGGCAAAGGATCTTAGGGAGGAAAAGGGAGAAGATCTGAAAAGGCCTTAGGGGGAAAGGGGGGAAAGGAGCTCAACAGGGAAAGGTGGGAGAAGATCCTAGGGAGGAAAAGGGGGAATGACTGGCGGGGAAAAGGCCTGAAAGGTCTCAACCAGGGAAAAAAGATCTTGGGGGAGGACAACGGAGAAGATCTCAGGGGGGAAAGGCCTTAGGGGGGAAAGGGGGGAAAGGATCTCAACCGGGAAAGGGGGCAAAGGATCTTAGGGAGGAAAAGGGAGAAGATCTTGGGGTGGAAAACGCCTTAGGGGGGAAAGGGCGGGAAAGGATCTCAACAAGGAAAGGGGGGAAAAGATCTTAGGAAGGAAAAAGGGGAAGATCGCGGGGGGAAAAAAGGCCTTAGGGGGGAAAGGAGGGAAAGGATCTCAACCGGGAGAGGGGGGAAAACATCTGAGGGGGGAAAAGGGAAAAAAAAAAAAGTCGGAGGGAGAGAGAACAGAGAGAGAAAGGGCCTTAGGGGGGGAAAAGGGGAATGGTTCTCAAAGAAAGGTGGACAAAAGATCTTAGGGAGGAAAAATGGGAGAAGATCTCAAGGTGGGGTGGGGGGGAAAGGCCTTAGGGGGGAAAGGGGGGAAAGGATCTAGCGGGAAAGGAAGGGAAAGAATCTTTAGGGAGGAAGGGAGAAGATCTGGTGGCAAAGGCTTCGGGGGGAGGCGGGAAAGGGTGAGAATGATCTCAACAGGGAAAGGGGTGGAAAAGATCTTAGGGAGGAAAGGGAGAAGATCTGGGGGAAAAAAGGCCAACAGGGAAAGCAGGGAAAGATCTAAGGAAGGAAAAGGGAGAAGCTCTCAGGGGGGGGAAAGGCCTGAGGGGGGAAAGGGTGGGAAGGATCTCAACAGGGAAAGAGGGGGAAACAATCTTAGGAAGGAAAAGGGAGAAGATCTGGAAAGGCCTTAAAGGGAAGGGGGGAAAGGATCTCAACAGGGAAAGGGGGCAAAGGGTCTTAAGGAGGAATAGGAAGAAGATCTCAGCGGGGGGAAAGGCCTTAGGAAGGAAAGGAGGGAAAGGATCTCAACAGGGAAAGGGAGGGAAAGGGGGGGAAAGATCTCAGTGAGGAAAGGGAGAAGATCCCAGGCAGGGAAAAGGCCTTAGGGGGGAAAGGGGGAAAGGATCTCAACAGGGAAAGGGGGCAAAGGATCTTAGGGAGGAAAAGGGAGAAGATCTGAAAAGGCCTTAGGGGGAAAAGGGGGAAAGGAGCTCAACAGGGAAAGGTGGGAGAGGATCTCAACAAGGAAAGGGGGGAAAAGATCTTAGGAAGGAAAAGGGGGAAGATCGCGGGGGGAAAAAAGGCCTTAGGGGGGAAAGGAGGGAAAGGATCTCAACAGGGAGAGGGGGGAAAACATCGTAGGGAGGAAAAGGGACAAAGCTCGGAGGGAGAAAGGGCCTTAGGGGGGAAAGGGGGAATGGATCTCAACAGGGAAAGGTGGCAAAAGATCTTAGGGAGGAAAAGGGAGAAGATCTCAGGGGGGGAAAGGCCTTAGGGGGGAAAGGGGGGAAAGGATCTGAGCAGGGAAAGGAAGGGAAAGATCGTAGGGAGGAAAGGGAGAAGATCTGGGGGCAAAGGCCTTAGGGGGGAAAGGGGAGAAATGATCTCAACAGGGAAAGGGGTGGAAAAGATCTTAGGGAGGAAAGGGAGAAGATCTGGGGGAAAAAAGGCCAACAGGGAAAGGGGGGAAAGATCTAAGGAAGGAAAAGGCAGAAGCTCTCAGGGGGGGAAAGGCCTCAGGCGGGAAAGGGTGGGGAGGATCTCAACAGGGAAAGGGGGGAAACAATCTTAAGAAGGAAAAGGGGGAAGATCTGGAAAGGCCTTAAAGGGAAGGGGGGAAAGGATCTCAACGGGGAAAGGGGGGCAAAGGATCTTAAGGAGGAATAGGGAGAAGATCTCAGTGGGGGGAAAGGCCTTAGGAAGGAAAGGAGGGAAAGGATGTCAACAGGGAAAGGGGAGAAAAGATCTCAGTGAGGAAAGGGAGAAGATCCCAGGCAGGGAAAAGGCCTTAGGGGGGAAAGGGGGAAAGGATCTCAACAGGGAAAGGGGGCAAAGGATCTTCGGGAGGAACACGGAGAAGATCTGAAAAGGCCTTAGGGGGAAAAGGGGGAAAGGAGCTCAACAGGGAAAGGTGGGAGAAGATCCTTGGGAGGAAAAGGGAGAAGATCTTGGGGGGAAAGGGGGAAAGGATCTCAACCAAGGGAAAAGATCTTGGGGAGGACAAGGGAGAAGATCTCAGGGGGGGAAAGGCCTTAGGGGGGAAAGAGGGGAAAGGACCTCAACAGGAAAAGGGGGCAAAGGATCTTAGAAAGGAAAAGGGAGAAGATCTTGGGGGGGAAAACGCCTTAGGGGGGAAAGGGCGGGAAAGGATCTCAACAAGGAAAGGGGGGAAAAGATCTTAGGAAGGAAAAGGGGGAAGATCGCGGGGGGGAAAAAGGCCTTAGGGGGGAAAGGAGGGAAAGGATCTCAACAGGGAGAGGGGGGAAAACATCGTAGGGAGGAAAAGGGAAAAACTCAGAGGGAGAAAGGGCCTTAGGGGGGGAAGGGGGAATGGATCTCAACAGGGAAAAATGGCAAAAGATCTTAGGGAGGAAAAGGGAGAAGATCTCAGGGGGGGAAAGGCCTTAGGGGGGAAAGGGGGGAAAGGATCTGAGCAAGGAAAGGGGGGGAAAGATCTTAGGGAGGAAAGGGAGAAGATCTGGGGGCAAAGGCCTTAGGGGGGAAAGGGGAGAAATGATCTCAACAGGGAAAGGGGTGGAAAAGATCTTAGGGAGGAAAGGGAGAAGATCTGGGGGAAAAAAGGCCAACAGGGAAAGGGGGGAAAGATCTAAGGAAGGAAAAGGGAGAAGCTCTCAGGGGGGGAAAGGCCTGAGGGGGGAAAAAGTGGGAAGGATCTCAACAGGGAAAGGGGGGAAGCAATCTTAGGAAGGAAAAGGGAGAAGATCTGGAAAGGCCTTAAAGGGAAGGGGGGAAAGCATCTCAACAGGGAAAGGGGGCAAAGGATCTTAAGGAGGAATAGGGAGAAGATCTCAGCGGGGGGAAAGGCCGTAGGGGGGAAAGGGGGGAAAGGATTCCAACAGGGAAAGGGGGGGAAAGATCTCAGGGAGGAAAGGGAAAAGATCCCAGAAAGGAAAAGGCCGTAGGGGGGAAAGTGGGGGAAAGGGAGGAAAAGGGAGAAGATCGCGGGGGGAAAAACGGCCTTAGGGGGGAAAGGGGGGAAGGATCTCAACAGGGAGAGGGGGGAAAACATCTTAGGGAGGAAAAGGGAAAAAACAGAGGGAGAAAAGGCCTTAGGGCGGAAAGGGGGAATGGATCTCAACAAAGAAAGGGGGGCAAAAATCTCAGCAGAGGGGAAGGGGGCAAGGGGACAATTCCAAAGGGACGCAAATAAGAAAGCAGGCCTGTAATGTCGGCGGCCTGAGCCGGAGGCGTTAACATTGCCGGGCCAGTCCGATTTGTTGCAGCCTGGCCGCGGCGAAGCTCGCTCCGCTCTCGGCGGCCACTTCGGGCTCATCCAACTCCTTGGGGGCCTCGCGCTTCGGACCGCGCGCGCCGCTTCGCGCTTCGGAGCCGCGAGCTCCGGGCGCTTCTTGCGGGCGCTTCTTGCGGAGGGATCTTTGAACCTCGAGCCATGTGCTTCATTTGTTCTTTTGCCGGGAGAACATGGGAAATTGTGAATCTAGTGATATACTCACCGTAAATCCAAGAGATGAAAACAACATCATCTTAAGCAAATGGAAGTCAACCATTTGGGTGTGGATCGAAATTAATCAGGAGGGGTTATGCAGGTATTAGTTCATGTGTCCACTTACCGGGGTTCCATCTTGGTACCGGTTTTTTGAGCCACAGCCATTTGTACAGTGATAAACTCACAGTAAAACCAACAGAAAAAAACAACAACATATTAAGCAAATGGCAGTCAACCTACCGGGAGTCTTCTGACCCGCAACATATGGGGCCCATATGGCGCCCAAAAGTAAGGGGTGGCCCCAGTGTCTATAGGTCATGAAAACTCCTAGTACGCGATACCCACAGCCATCCGCACAACTCTATCACCTTGAAGAGCAGTTGGTGTCGCAGAAGAACCTAAAGCCAAATTTTCCGCTTTTGGTTTGTCTGAAAGTAGGCGTGCCCCCCATGTTGGGTCCGAGGCTTTCCCGTGGAATCCCCACAAAATACACAAAAAGAAAAGCCACCAAAACACCCCCAAGCAAACTTCAGATCCTTCTGCGCCAGAAGGATCGCCCCCAGCCACAGTTCGCGGAAACCGCTGTTGGAAACCGATGCCTTACTTCTTTGGGAGGGAGAAGACGTGGCACGTGTTTATTGCGCTCATGGCAGGACAAATTGAATTAACACGAAAGAAATCGGCGCCGCCCTTCTCCCGAGTCTTCATCTCCCACATGCATACAGCGCCAAGCTTGCAGCCGGACTGAAACATTCCTGCGTGCGGCGAGCGAACCTTCCTGATTTTGCTCATACTGCTGCCTGAGCAGAAAAAAAACAGCCAAATAGTTGCACATCGCATCGTCCATGGGAAGGCTCCTGACCTTCCTTACCTTTGGACTCCTCTTCTTTGACCCAGCGCATGGTTGGGTATGTATTTCTGGATTTGGGGTTTGGAGTCAAACCAACAGGAAAACCGAAATCAATTTCGGGGTCCCCCCAAAAAAAGAGACACACGACGCGGTTCGATCCGATCGCCTCTCTGGCCACCGGTGCATTGTGAAGGATTGCCTGCGTGTGGTCACACTGGGTCCAAGGTACCATGCCCTCCAAATCCAGCTTGAAGCTGAATCTGTTTTCAACCACATCTGTGCTACCATATACCATCCATAATTGTAAAAGTAACTCTTGCAACAAAATAAAACATGTATTCTAGTAGATCCAGCCATGTTGATCCAGGCCCCCACCTCTGACACGAGGACAACCGCTTGCGCATTGTCGGGCCATGGGTTTGGATTGGTTGGGGGACCCTCAGGGCCAAACCAAGCCAGTGGGAAGCGGATGACAAAATCCAGTTTTTAGTTTGTTTTTTTTGGAGACTTTGCAGGGATCCTTACATTATACACCTGAACATTGCAACTTGTAAATGGTGGTGTCCCTATATTTTGGTGTTGAAAAAGCAACATGTTTCAAATGGTTGCAAAATGGAGATCTTTTGAGGAGCCCTGCTTCCACAACCACTTTCACGGCCCCAAGGTCCGTGCGACCTTGATGGACCCCGTCCCCCGCCGGAAAAAAAAAAAAAAACAAAAAAAAAAAAAAACAGGTTCGGAAAGGCAGACCGAGTTTGAGTGGATTTCCGCCCAAAACGGTCATGTCTGTTTTGGTTGACCCAGGTTGCTGCTTTTTCCCCCAACCAGATCGACAAATTTCCCCAGAACTGGAGGTCTGGGCGACAAACATCGAGAGCAAAAACCGCTCCTGAAGTCGCACGAAGCGCAAACGCTGCGTCAGCTTCTGCCCAAAACAAATGACATGGTGTTTCGGTGCAAACACCAACAAGGCCTGGCAAACATGTTTCCGATGTCTCCACTTGTGATGTTTGGGAAAAACAACATAGTCTCAGTTGCAACGCTATCCCCTAAGGGTCCAAGTGTAGGATGGTTTTGAAGGGTTTTGAGGGGCAACATACCTTGGGAGTTCCCTGGTACTCGTTGGCGTTTCTCGCTTTGAGTGCGATAACTTGGGCTCAAGGCAAACCAAAGCTTGCTGGGGGGATCCCCTTTGACTGGCATGTAGCTGGTGACCCGTCAGACATCAAGTTGAGGTGTGCCTTGTTTCTAGCGGAGATTGACGGTTGTCCTTTCGGTTTTCCTTTAAAACTACCAAAAAGGGGCACCCTCAAGAAAAGACACACCCATTTAGGTGAGTCACAATCAAAACCCGGTATTCAATTGGTCTACCCAAATCCACGTAAGGAAATATACAAAAGCGACTGCAGCTGTTTCTGGCGACTGTCCCTTAACCTTCATCCTTGGTTGACGTTGGAAGGGGAGCAAAAGTTTAAATTTTAACAAATCGGGGTTTCCCATTAAACCACAATAAGCAAACATGTAACATGTTTCCCAACAACAACCACAAATCGACCCGAATCGGTTTTGAAGACGTGGCTGTGGGCATTGTGCACCAAGTAGGTCCTCCAGTAGAGAGGTTAGAATAAGTTGTTACCGTTTCTTTTTTCCGTAGTCTACTTTAGTAGGGGAAAACCCTCCCAACCAAAAAAGGGTGAGACCCTCTTTGAAAGACCCTGAAACCAAAAGTCTCTCACCTGATCCATGGTCAAAACAACCAAACTCAGCCTCATGGTCATGGTTTCTTCAGGTCCGAACCTGACCCAAGAGAAAAGGCACCTAGCTGGGGGACCTAGACACCCATCGCTTCCCATCGCTGCCTCATAAGCGGCGTCCTCCCGCAAGCGCCCCGCTGCGCGTACCCGGGGCAACCGAGCCGCCACATTGCCTGGCGCATGGCTCCAGGTTCTTGGAATGAAACAAACGAACGAACGAATCCGGGTCTCTGAGCACTGAGTGCGCGACCTTTAGGGAGTTTGGGGGTGGCCGAATAACAAAGCGCAGCAACAACTTGTGTGTGTGTGTGTGTGTGTGTGTGTGTGTGTGTGTGTGTGTGTGTGTGTGTGTGTGTGTGTGTGTGTGTGTGTGTGTGTGTGTGTGTGTGTGTGTGTGTGTGTGTGTGTGTGTGTGTGTGTGTGTGTGTGTGTGTGTGTGTGTGTGTGTGTGTGTGTGTGTGTGTGTGTGTGTGTGTGCGTGTGTGTTTTGAGGCAAACCATCTTCAAACATGGGAAACAACAAAAAACAAGTAATGACACATGGAAGGACGACCATCATGTTCTTGCTGGAATGCAACATTCAAGGTTTTCCATCATCGGATCAAAAGGCTTCTCACAATGCAGGACCATCCCTAAGAGGGACCCCTTTCTGAGAGAAACGCTTTCCAGAGGCCTCATATCCACTTCCGCGGTTGAAAGTTGGCATAATTTCTCTGTGCTTCCGGATGAGTAACTGATCCATCCGATTCCAAAATCTGCAGGTTCATGTCCAAACCCCGGAAGTCTCTTAAGAATCAGAGATTTAGCCTTGCCGCAAGTCTGTTAAGGTCACCTTGGCATCGACATGTTGACATAGGTTCCCAGAAAGGTCCAAAAAAAGATCACCCTACCTCCAAGAGGAAACCAACATACTTTACATCTACCAGGCGGATTCCAGTGGTCTGAAAAATGGGGACCCATCAAATGATTCAGTTTCGGATCCCCTTTGGCTCCTAGGGGCGAAGAAGAAAACAACAAGCACCGCTAAAATGGTCTAATTACTCAGATTACACCCATTTCTGGTTGGCATTGTCCCTCTCCAATTACCCAGATCAGTTGTGAGGACGTGGCTGAAATGATTTCTTTCACCCCGCTAGCCCATTGCTGAAGCCATGGGCAGCACGGCGCGAGTCCTCCGGGTGCCTTCGCCCGGCATGATCTCGCCATCACCCGCGTCACAAGGAATCTCCTCACGGAGAGGGTTTTTTCCTCTGGAAGGCCACAAGTCCAAGCGGTTGGGTACTAAAATGGGCCAATGGCTCTGTGGTTGTTTGGCGGTACCCCTTTGCTTGTGGGCTTTAAATCATGGAAACCAAAGGAAACCCACCAGTTTTCCTTCTTTTAGAGGGGGGGTGCCTAAAAAAGCACGCCCAAATGATCTCTCCACATAAAGTGGTTCAAGTCCAGTCCAGCAACTCGGGGAGTGTAGATAACACATGGGACAGAGATCCGGCCCAAAAACGGGGGCGGGGCTGACCAAGCTGACGAGTCCATCTTCCCGAGACCCGGTGGGTTCCAGAACCCAGATGAGAGCCTGCACCTAGCCATTCCCTACGTTGCAATCCGAATGCGGCTGGTAAAGAATGACCACCTATCCAGGCAAGGAAAGTATGGATTCCTTCCAGGCACACAAGAATGCATGGTCGAACTCCTGATGTCAGCCCTCTGGACACCTCTCAGTGAGGCTATGTGCAATGCAAACTTGCTAACTTCTCTTGGCATCTCAGCCTCCATAGATGGCTCCAAAACCCCGAAAAAAAACGGGTGTTGAGGTAAGTGCCTGCGGATCCTGTGGCCGCAACTAGGGCATGGAAGAACACAATCTGCTTCCTTGACGTCGCCTTTGACGGGTAGGAACAAGACAATTGCCGTGCCTCACCGGCAACCAGCTGGAGGCTAATATGTCAAAAGGTTGGTTCGCTTTGGGACGCTCCACAGCAAAGTGGCGCCGGCGCCGGTGTCTTGCTTGCTTCCATAGCAGCTCCGGCTCTCTTCACATTCCGGTTGGCTCCCGACAACGAACACCTCGCCTACCTCGCCTAATGCCAATGAAGCCACCAGGAACAAAGAGCAGAGACGAGGAAACCCAAAGGGTACAAGGTTGGGCTTGGACAACTGATACCCACCCTGTTGACCCTTACACGGGTTTCCAATACCAAACACCCCCTCGCCGAAGGACCAAAGGACCCACAGAAACGCCCAGTGAAAGCGCTCCTGCGAATCGGTGTGCTCACTCTGCTCAGGCCTGCGACCACATAGGGGCCGAATAACTCACTTCCCGAGTGGATGGCCAAAAAAGGTACCCAAACTTTGTATTTACAACTAAAATGGTCTTCCTGTCTTGCCAAAAAGTATAAAGTCCAGGAACTCAGGAAGTGAGTTACACTAAATTAAGCCAGGACTATGGGAAACAATATTAGATCCTTTTTGTTGCCCACTACACAAGGGGAAAACCTAGGCCCTTTCCAGAACCGTTCTGGTGGAAGGATTCTGGGAAGCTTTCTTGCAGGTCGGGAGATCTTAGTGTTTCTCCTTAGACTCCGCAGCTGAGAAAAGGAGCCTCAATCCGCTGATCCCCGCAGAAAGTGAGAAGGGTGGGGCCATGACAAATGTCCAGTGAGCGTGTTTCTATCTGAAATCAGCTCGTGACGGTTGGCTCGATTCTTGCCCGTGATTGTCTCTTCGGCCGAATTTGGCTGTCAGACATGCGCCGTCAAGGGCTTTTGGGACTTGGTTGACCCCAGCTCTTTCGGCGTCTGTAGGCTCTTTGGCACCGCTCAAATTGCAACCGACCCGCCGCGAATGCATCGCTCGACTCCTACCTGCACCGGGCCCTAGGCATTGAAAGGAAGGGGAACACGGGGGGACTCGGCGTCCGCTTTTTGTGTCCCAACCATCACGTTCTAAATAGGCTTTGCACTTGCGATTCGGTGGCATCCGCCAAAAGAAGTTGCTTTTGAAGGAACCGGCCGGAGCCTCTAAAAAAAAATAATGAAGCAATGGCTCTTTGTGCAGTTGACTCCTCTCAATGTTCAGAAGCACTTTGGGTTCAATCGACTATAGTAAGTTAAGGGGTTCCCCCCCTTCCATGAGTGGAGGATTCATAAGATGGCTCCGACGATTACCCGGATGAGTCCGAAGTGACCACTGGGGATAGGTGCGCCGTTTGCGTCCGAGTTGACGGAGCTGGGCATTGCCTGAGTAGCCGCTGGGCAAAGCTGTGCTTTGATTTCAAAAGCCGACTGCAACCAAACGCAATGGCCGAAGGGGCAAATGTTGCAAGGCGCATACTGAACAGACCAAGCACAAGAATCGAGTGGTCAGCTCACAACGAGTATGTCTCAAAGTCGAGGGACCCCATCTTTTTTTTGTTTCCGTGTGTCGCTTTTCGGCCGACCCCTCGGACAAAAAAAAAGGATCACGTCCCATCTGTTTCCCAAAAGAAACGCACTGTTAAACAGCTTGCAACTCCTTTCCGTTTTCGGATTTTTCGAATCCTGGACCAAGCGTCTTGAGCACCCGCCCATAGGGAACAATATGGCTGTGGCTCAAAAAAGTGGGACCAAAATGGCACCAAAAGGCAAATGGAACCAAAGACTAAAACGGTTGGCCGCAGCTCTTTGATTTTGAGCCATATGGTGAGGGGCTCCAGTCGACAAGCATCAAATCGGAATCCCGCCTCAGCGGATCCTGGAGCCGGAAAGTTAGCTGTGGACAAAATGGGCGGGAGCCTCAAACATGGTCCTCCAGATTTGAGAGCTTAGGCTACTTAGGCTTAGAATAAGTTGCTACCCGATTTTCTTTCTTGTTTGTCTATTGTAGTAGTTTGGAACTCCCTCAACCAAAAAAGGGGTTAAAAAGGGCACTACTGGGGGACCTAGCTCAAAAATACCCAAATGATGTGCCACAAGTTACGAAATGAAGTACCAATGAAGACATGGATGCCCCAAATTTATATGGTGATGTCACAGTCATGTCCCTCCCCCCCCAATTAACATAGAAACTGTGGGAGGGTACCTGGAAGATCAACTTCCTCCTGAAGTTCTCAAATGTCAAATGCCATGTTAGTGGGAGAGAGAGTACCCTAAAAAATTGGCTGCCCCATATTGTGTGGTGATGTTCAAGGTTTAAGCACCCCTCCTTCAAACATCAGCCTCTGCGATTTACGCCTCCTGTGATTTTTGGGCAACGCCTGCACCACACTCCTTGCAAGGGTAAACGCACATGTCCATTCTCTGAAACTACACCGCCCATCCATAGCTAACGGCGCTCAGCTGCTATCAACTCCCCAAGGACAAACAAATCCCACCAAACTGCTGCCAGTTTGCAAAAATACTAAAACAACCGCGACGTTTTTTTTGAATCAAGAGGATTCATGTCAAGTACAGCACATGAGAAAGAGGGTACAGACGCTCCGCACATCCTGGTTGTGTCTGGTTTGTTGAAAACCACAAAGGCCTTGCGATCTTCATCCCACTTTAGGTCATTTTGGATGCCATATCTCCACCCATCGCTTTCTGCGGGGTTCCGCATATATGTCTCCTACAAACCTCACCCCTGCCAGACAAAACTCAGCTTACCGCGCAGAAAAGGAGATGACAAAACCGCGCAAAAACCAACCTAGGACCTGGTCTACCAAGCTGGTCAGCTGGCTAACCCATCAGCCATCGGAGCCATGAACAAAGCAAGACGCCCTCCTCGTGGGCCTTCTGTGCGTGTGGGGCCCCTCAAAGCAGCGGGTTCTCCCATTTGTGTGGACCTAGTGGCTGGGTCCGTTGTTCCAAACTCATTGAAACAGCAAAACCCAGTGATTCCCGTCCCCTGTGTAGATCGCCAAGGAAATTCCACCCTTCATCACCAACAAACGAAATGGCGAGTTAGCTACGATGGCTTGCCTGGGATTCAGTGGGGAACATGTCGTGCAACTTGAATCCTCCAGTCCCTTCCGTCCTGTCGGCTGCTTTGGCTTGGGCGCTGGGCCTCGCAGGCGGAGTCTCCAAGGGTTGGAGGGGGTTGACCGATCTGAGTCGTACTTGAAAGCGAGGGATCTCTCATCTCCATGTCCGGAACCCTTTGGCGCCTAAAGACCTTGACCCTTGCACCCCCCCACCAAACAAAAAAGGGGAAAAAACAATGGCTACTGGCCACCCTCTGGACAACCGGCACCGACAAACAAAGAACGGATTCTCCCAATCTAGGCTTTACGTGATGGCTTCCTCTGGTTACCTACAATTTCAACAACGATAGCATATGGTATCTGGAAGCAAAGGGGTAGAACATCCCCAGCCAAAAGCAGGGATGCCTACGAAAGGAAAATGAGGTCGCCCGCTCCTGTACGCGAGGTCGCCAGCTCCCCATGTGCGTTGGGCCAAACGTCGTCCACTCTTCCCACAAGGGCTTCCCATTGAAACGAACCGACCTGCCTTTTTCGACCCCCAACCTGCGTTTTGGGCCAAGCCGAAGGAAATATGCACATCTCACAAAAACAACTCGGGGTTTAACAAACAGAGGCGACCATAGATTTGAAGTAAAAAACATAAAATGAGAGTGTCAGGGCTTGACTTTCTCCACCACACTGGCAAGGCGTGTGCCAAGAGAAACATGGCATGATACGCATTGTGTATCATTATCAGCTTGTATCATGGCTTATCATCGTGTAGCATGTATCATAGTGTATCGTATCGTATTCTGCGCAGGAAAGCACTCCGCTCGCAATGTGGGAGGTCTGCTCACATTCCTCGTCCATGCGCCCATGCAGAGTTGTGCCGCTAGAATGGCTGCCGCAGTGACAATTTGAGGCTCAAGAAGTCCATTCTAAGTGGATTCTCGGATAATTTCTCGGCCAAGTTGGAGCTCCCCACGTCAAACAAAAAGGTAATTCTGAGGTCGTTTTCTGGTAAATTCGGAGTATTTTCATGAGTGGTTCCCCATTTTAGAAGGAAATGATCTTTCTCGTTGGGGGGTTCCTCCTTTGCCCAAAGAACCCTGGGACTAAAAGGCTCACCTCTTGGGGCCAAAAGTTCAGGTGAGCTTTGCACAAGTGAGCCTCTGACTGCTGTGGATGGTTGCGAACTCCGCTTCTCGCACCACCAAAAAAGAAGCCCTATGATGGTTCCCCTGTAAATAACCGAGCAAATGGTTTCAACCATGGTTTCAACGTGCGAAATGGATTTTGTCCATCCAGGGCCCCGATTAATCCGAAGTTAACGTTCAGCTTCGCATCTGCGATGCGCGCGTTCGCCTGCCGGAGGTCATTCGCCTCACGAGACTGCTTCAGGTCCCTTCAACAAAAGCCATCCTTAACTTCCAATTGGTTAAGACCCCTGGGAAAAAAAAAGAAAAACATATTTCCACTAGTGATCGATTCCCTTTATAACCAGCAGGGGAAAATAACAAATATTCTTAAGCAAATGGAAGTTAAAGGGACACTGAGCATGGGCAAGCCATTCTCTTCCCAGTGGCTATGGGCAGACTTGGGACAGCTACCTTGGATATAAGTAGAGCCCCAACCAAAAACCGACGAAAACTGATTATCCCCTGGACAACTGTCCTTCCAATTGAGCCAGCGCCTATTTTGGAGCCTGATTCCGCTGGTGAAGATGCCTCCCTGTGGCCCTCATTGAGAACGCCTAAGCCAAAACTGGGGTGGCATGAACGGAAATCACCACGGTCTGAAAGTGTGGTGCAATCCGAATTACAGTTTGGGTTCATTGACATTCCCCATCATTTTTTTATGGGACAGCTATACGACGTTTCAATTGAAAGGATATGTTTCACGGACGAGGTCGCAAGCCTCTTTTATGAGGTCGCTAAACATTGCCCAAATCGGTAGTTGAACAGCTCGACTATTGGGTGAATGTAATTTGCCAATATGCGATGCAGTGAGCCCAGTATACAATTTCAGATACAATTTCAGCTTCTCTCTAATTGGTGGTTGAATTGGTGGTTTAAGGAGAGGGTTTCCAATTACCCTCTACAAGGACCAGGGGGACAAATCCCCAAACCACCAATCCAAGCCACCAACTAAGGGACAATGCTCGATTGGTGGGGGCATCGTTTGCGACGTCAGACATTTACTTGCTGTTGGCTGGTACTCTGGTCGAAGCCCCAACATGTTGTCCAATGTTTGGCAATCCAGGAGGTCTGAAAATCGACCCCCCCCCACCAAAAAAACAAACTAACACGGACAATGGACAACTGGTGGTGGTTCACCAGAAAACCAAAAGGAAGGCCAACCTGCGGCCTCCGAACGCGCTTGTTACTTCATCGTAAGCTGCCTCCGGGCCGGCAGCCACATCCCCACTGCCGCCTAGCGCGAAGGCTCCGACAAGGCAGCCCTGGGGTCCTAAGGACCTAAGGCGCACGCTGGCAACGCCCAAAAATACTGTGGCAGGACGAAATCCTGCACCAATTTGAAACCATCGAAAACCATTTGGTATTGCAGGGGGATCATCATTCCAGGATTTCTTAGGTGATGCAGGATTTCGTCCATCCAGCGTAAGCCCTAAGCATGTCGAGTCAACAGCCTCTGCACAAAAACGATTGACCCTTGAGATGGCATCAACAACAATCCGGAAAGGGTCACTATGAGGAAAGAAGTGCCCTCTGGCATATTTGTACGAGCATGGAAAACAATGCGAACCGCTTGGAGATCAGATTCAGCATAAACATGTCTTGACATGGACGTGAAGAATCGCCGGCGCATGCATAGTAAAGATGTATTTACATCAGTCAACATCCTCTGAGATCATAAGACACATTTTTTCGGGTGGCTCGGAATTCAAACAGCGCGGCTTTGGCGGCCAGATGCTCTCAAAGCACAGACCAGTATGGCAAAGCTTGATGGCTTCCTCAAGGTTCGACCTCAATCCCACGCTAAAAGCAGAGGATTCCGCGCATGTTCTTCTCTGCGATATACCCAACTTCCGAATTGTTACCCAAATACAAGCGTTTCATATCTGTTGGGCAACCTGGGGCGTGGTTGTGGTAAACATGGCCAAGGAAACACACGTCCCTCAACTTCCCACGTCGCTGCTGACTGTCTTTCCGGTTTAACCGGTGTTTCAGCTGGTAAACCCTTCGAACTTCTAAAGTTTAGACTAAGATGGAAGCTGAAAATCCCTCATTTGTCGAGAAATGTCCGTGCCAGGTTCCATGTCGTATTAAGTTGTAGGGGGACCTACGTTCGGCAACCATAGGGAATCCTCTTTGGTGGGGCCGCTGAGTTACTTCACACGGCGGGTCTTGCCAGCAGACTTGTTGGGAATATGACGCCGCCACTGACCCTGTTCCCCAAGGCTCCAAAAACCATTCTGAGTGCGTTTAAACCCGCCTTATATCCAGGAAAGGAAGATCAACGATGCTGCAAGAATGCCACTTCTCAGGAATCAGTTGCTGTTGACTGGCGAAGCTGCCACTAAAGCGCCCATTGGACTTGCGAGATATTTTTGTCCGGTAAAGTGACAGACTCAAAAATACGCCGTATACAAATTGTGGTTTGAAATGAAACTACCCCAAAAGCTCCGCTTCCCAAATGGGTTTTGATGAACTACCAACTTCGCTCTCCACTGAAGCGGTCTTCCCAAAGTGCTCAAGTCCAGGAACTCGGGGAGTGAAAAACTATGTGTTGAGAACCCCCAACCCTCCATTTGGTTGAGACCCCCGGAAAAAAAAAGAAAAAGAAAAAAAAAAAAAAGTCCAGTAGTGATAGATTCTTAAAACCAATCGGGGAAAACCATATTCTTAAGCAAATGGAAGCAACATGTTCACTCGAGATGTTCTCCGTCCAAACACACACACACACACACACCTCGTACTTTAAAAAGGGGTCAGGTTGCGCTCTTCACCCGGGCCTGTCATAATCTTCGCCTCCTTCTCCTGACTGACCTCGGCCTCCTTGCCGAACGGGAAGTGATTCGATGAATGCGCACAATGCTTTTGGAGGAGACCCTTACGAAAACCAAACGGAGACCCAACAGAATCGCTGGTTTTGATAGCCCAGATCAATTTTCTGGTTGATTCAGGGGGTGGGGGCTGCACCGCTGCAAAAACCCTTACAAACCAAAAGGGGAATCGCTGGTTCCTTGCATAAGGGCTGGAAGCCACTGGGAAAGTGCCTGGGCATACTCGCCTCGGCCGAAGCGGTTACAATAATGGTAAATTGGGGAAAGGAAGGATCTGACAACTTTGGAAAACACCATCCCCTTGTGGTTTCCTTCAAAATGTTAAGGAGATTCATTAGCATGGATTCGGCAGCCAGTCAACCCATCAGGGCTATGGCAGCGTGGTGAGCGCTCTGTCCCCATGTACGGAGCCATATGGGGGTTGATCATAAGGTCCATGTAATTACATGGGATGACCATGGGGGAAAACCACTAAAAAGTAGTTTCCCACATGGGAAACAGTTATCCATGGTCAAAACTGGGGGCCCTAAATGGAATATCGATCAACCCACATATCAGGGAAGAATTGAGAGCCATGATCCGAGGCTAAGAGAGGCTCCATGGAGATCCCCCTAAAACCGTCTTTCACAAAAGCGGCGGTGTCTGTGAGGTTGTTTGTTGAGTAATTTGGCGGGCCCCCTGAAAAAAGACACACCCAAATACGGAAACCGTTTTTGGACTGCCGACATACTTACACCCCCTACAAAACCCACAGGCGCCTCCCCAAAACCATTTCTCTGAAGTCGCAAAGAATATCCGCCCACCTAAAACCAACACCCCACTCCGCCTAGGTTTGGCTGATTGGTTACAACGGCGGGGGGAGAGGTAAAAACCCCTGTATCCTCCACCGCTTTGGGGCTCTTTGCACCTCCCTTTGCCAGCATTCCCACGCTCATGACAGGGGCTCGACACCAACCTGGAGTCGCAATGGTCCAAGCGACCGAAAGATGGAGCCCATGAAACCCCCGGGGCAACCTTCATGGCAACTCCGATGCCCAGTGGATTTCCCATGGGAAAAAAGGGCATCCGATTTGATTTGTTTGGTTGGTTGACGTTAAAGGGGAGCCCTTGCCAAGTAAGCTCAGCTGACATCCCCAACAGCATATGATGCTCTTTCTAGTTCTCGCACCACCCCGCAGCCCTCGTAGAACCTGGTGGAACGCTGGTGGAACCCTGGTCCAACCCTGGTGGAACTCTGGTGGAAATCTGGTGGAAAACTGGTGGAACCCTGGTGAAATCCTGGTGGAACCCTGGTGGAACCCTGGTGGAACCCTGGTGGAATCCTGGTGGAATCCTGGTGGAACCCTGGTGGAACCCGGGCGGAACCTTACCTCAGGGCCGCCCCGGACCAGCCCGGAGCCTATCTGGGGAAAAAAAAAAAGTAAAAAGGGCCCCACTGGGCAACTGGGGCAACTGAAAAAGGGAAACCCTAAAGCAACTCTCCACATACTACCCCGAGCCCTGATCGTTTTCGATTTTGAACGGGTCACTGCTTGTTGAGCAGTGCGGCAGGGGGGGTTCTTGACACTTTCTGGACAAGCATCAGGCATAGTTTCCTTAAAGAAGCTGCTATGACCAAACCCTTGGACGGCAATTGTTGTGGTGCCCGGTGACAGTATCTTCAGCTGGGAGAAGCAACATCCGTGATCAGGATGTTGGTGCGCCCGGATTTACTGGAAGATTGCTTGGCAGGTATGGAAACATACAAGCCGGTGAGTGAGCGGTTGACGTCTGTCCAAATTAGGGACCCCAAATGTCGACCCGCGAACGACGGGCCGGTACTGTAGATGGACAAACATCCTGCACCAGGTGGCGATTGTTCGTAGGAGTATCATCCAGGCAAACTGGTGTGAAGCAGATGTTGTCCAACCACAGGGAACCACGACGGTTCCACCTGCAGATTCCTGAAGCCTACTTGTCCACCTGGGAATGGTGAAAAAGAGAGGCTTATGATTCCCAGAAGGGTGGGTCACAGGGTTTCGAACACTCTTTATAACCCTCCATTGAAGTCCCCTGGGAAAAATGGAACAACTCTAGTGACACCTTTAAAACCCCGAGTGGAAATCATAAAACAAAACTCCATTTCAGCAAAGTCCCCTGGAAAAAAAGAAGAAGAAAAAAAGCATCCGGTGATACCTTTCATCAGCTTCAATGGCAGGTCTAGAAATTTCGGAACAGGTTAAAGAACAAAAACCGGACGCGAGGGTCCTCGATGGGCTCAGGATCCATGGCATCCCCGGTGGGGCTCGCCGGAGGGCGGTTGGTCACCTGACCGGCGGCTTGGGAACTGATCAAGTTGAAAGTGGGTCAAATCGAGACCCAACCACTAAAACAACTAAAAACCTTGTGAAAAACCATGAGAACCACAAAATACCATTAAAACTGGGTTGGTTTTCTGAAGTTGAAATGAATAGGCCTACCGGCTTTCTTGCGCCTGCCCCCCACTGAGACGGTATAAGCACCCACACACAGCGAGAAGTTACGCCATGAGGCTTACACCCAAACACACAACCCTACTGTGAATGGACAAAATCCTAGTTGGAATCAATGAAACCCAATCAATATATGGAGAGATAAAGAAAAACAACTACTAACTGGTTCAGCATGTCGTCCATCCACAGTATTATCTTCCACTTGCTTAAGTCCCCTGGAAAATATATCTCTATTTCCAGTAGTGGTAGATTCCCTTTAAAACCACAAAAGAAAATGACACATACCCTGCAGCAATTGGAAGTTACCCCTATAAAATTAGTGGTTCGGCTTGGGTTGCAGGTCGAGGGTTGGTGTCACCTGAAAAAGACGGTCTCTGAACAAAAAACACAACATCATTAAATTGGTGCTTTGAATTGTTTGAAGCTTAAGCGTTGGTGTCACCTAAAAAATGGACCCTTGAGCATAAAAGACAAATGACCTGTGGCAGAGCGGTTTGCTGTCGAAACGGCTTTGTCTCATGGGCCAACGGGGATTATCCTCCCTTTGGTTTCCAAGCCCGGACAACATACTTCAACAAACAACACGCTCACATGTGGGTGTGGCTCAAAATTTAAGGGCTGGGGACGCAGGTTTTGGCCATTGTTTCCATCGAAGGGGCCCAAAAATGGGTTCCACTTTTTTGAGCCACAGCCATGTGACCTTTGGGAAACAGCTTGAACAAGGAACAAGACGAGACCGCGACCACATTTCAAGCGGTCAAGGCTCCAGCACGCCACCTTGATACATAGCTATCGTGTGGCTGCTAGACTCCCGGACTTCAAACACAAACAACACAGCAACAAGCGAAACTGCTAATCAAAGGGTCGATGAGCCAATCCCCCCCAACAAAAACAGATAAAACGGTGGAATGGGCCTGAACTTTGCCTTTCTGAATCACATGTTGAGCCTTCCTTCCGGATTGGACGCTACCATGCCTAAACAGAAAGTGGAAAAACGACAGGACGGCCTGTGGCGGCCGTGATTCAACGACCGTCATGCGGCAACTGAAGGTCGTTAGCCATCAGAACAAAGGTTGGGTCTCGTGCAGTGAGGCCGCTGGTCCAACGCTGGCTGCATCGCAAGCCAAAATCATGCTTAGGCACAAAGGAGTTGGGGGTGCAGTGTGGGGTGTGCTTGGTTCCAAGTACAAGCGTGGGCAATGCCGGAGGCTTGTGGCATTCGAACATTAAAGCTGAGGACTCTCAACGTGCACTAAATGGGGGGGGCGGGTTCCATTTGCCCTGTTGGAAGACTAGTGCAACTGGTGGACCCCCCAGGAGAAGCTTCAAAGCCTAGCGATTTGGAGTGGCTAAGTTGTTGTGTGTGGCACATATCCGTACTCCAGAAGCTGCTGTGCCGCGGAACTCTCACAACCCTCAAATAAGAGGTAGAGAGGTTAGAATAAGGGAATATACCCCTCTTTCTGTAGTCTATTTTAGTAGGGACCCTCCCCCAAAAAAGAAACGGTAAAAAAGGGCACCAATTGCTGGGGGACCTAGTTGGAATTTGGGTTGCTTACGGAAACTCAAAGGACTCAATCCATCTCAGGGCCAACCTGAGGAATCCTCAAGTCTCCAACTTCGGGGCTGCAACTGGACCCCCCCCCCGGTGCGGGAAGAGCCATGGGTCATGTGATCCACCGAATCCCCGAGGGGGAGGGGGGGGGAGAAAGGTCCTCCAACTCCATGGTTCAGCTTAGGGAAGATCTTGGTTGCTGCAACGACCCCCCTGCAAAGAGTGTTTAACTTTTTGGGGATTTAAAGCGGAAAACTTTTTGTTTTTGCCAAACAGTTAAAGTCTAGAGATCCAGCCCAATAGCAGTCAAGAGATGAAACCACAAACAAAGATCTCCAGGGTCACCCCCCCCCCATTCCATTTGCCATGGATGGTCTGCCCGGGTCGCCTACTCCAGTGATTCGTTCTCTATTTCCAGCTCAAAAGCAACCAAGGGAGCCCTTTGAAAGCAAGGATCACATGGTGAAGGGCAACCTGCTGGGTATGACCTGGAAGCACTAGGATCAGGGTGATCAGGGTGTGACCTGGAAGCACGTGAGGCATGTCGCCCAGTTTCCTCGTTTCAGCCAAAGGGCCTCCAGCAGAAGAGCTTTGCCTCCCTGCGCTTTGCCATCATCTCAGCGAGCAGGCGGCGAACTGCAAGGTCATTGCTGCTGTTGCTGTTGGTTTCCCTTTAAAACCACAACACAAAACTCAAAGAAAGACACACCCTGGTAGACATACCACTGCTTGGGAAACTGACGGGTTAAGTCTACCTTCGATGTAATCAACCAAAATCGCACTGGTTTTGAAACACAAGCCCACCCATTTCGTGGGGAGAGTTGTAATGATCTGGACCAATCTGGCCGCCCCGTAATTGCTGGTTGTGTGTCTTTTTTGCAGGGTACACCCTTTTGGGGCGTTTCAAGGGCCACCAAAGGGAAACCATTCCTTGTGGAGGTTCCCGTATGGAAAGACTCACCCCACCGGGGTGGCTAATTGCGATCCTTCACTGGAGGAAAACCGCCGCAAAGGGCAGCCCCGTACGGGTAAGGATTGAGGATTGCCTTGAACAGCCCATCCAAAAGGTGAAGTGCCACAGGGACGAGATTTAGCCTTCCCCTGAAGCAGGCGTCTGAGCTGTCGTTCCGCCAAGAACCCCCCGAAGAACAGAGCTTCTTCCCCAAACAAGAGGCAACTCATCAATTAAAGTTACCTAGGGGGAAAATGCAGGGGAACCCAGGGAACAGGTGGTGATTTTTAATTGCTTCTCCTGTTTTTGGTTGTAGTGAGAAACAAGTACTGCGGGTATTGAACAACTGGTTGGGATTTGTTCCCTTCAAAGGGTTGGGTTACAGGAAATTCAACAGGAAAACAACTTATTTAGAGTGTCTTCGGGACATTTCCAATAGATGTTCCTGTAACCAAACCCAGCCCCATGTTTAAAAGATGTGGAAGAATCCTAGGCTGTGGTTCTGGCCATTGGGGAACTCACAAAACTTGTTTCCGCAAAACTTGGGGACTCACTCATTTTCCTGGGGAGGCAATCGAAGATTTGCCTCCATGTGCGCGGATACGTCCCTTGGACAAAAATGGGAAGCATACTTCCAGTGATGGATTCCCTTCAAAATCAACAGGGGACAATCTCACTTGCCCAAAGGACGCAGAACTGAAAGATCATCACCTTTTGGGGCCATGACTCAAAGAAGGGTTGCCAAAAAGGGAAACCCAAAGGGTCAAACGGTCGATTCGCTTTGAACAACTGAGTGGACTGGCAATCAAAAGTGTCCAAACTCTCGATCGTCCACTAAAAATGGTCCAAACCCAAAACATACAAAGCCCAGGAAAAAAGTCAATTCCTGGGTTCCCTTGACACAAAACCAACCGGCGATACCAAAAAAAACAGGCGGCAGTTGGCTGTGGGTCAAAACCCTGTACCCCTGGTGAACATCAAAATAGGTGGCAAATGGATGTTCATCCACCCCAAAATGTGATCGCCATAGGTTACTAGGTTCTCCGGTGGAGAGGCTAAAATAAGGGTACCAACTTTTTCCTGTAGTCTATTCTAGTAGTTTGGAACCCTCTTAACCAAAAACGAAACGGATGAGAAAGGGCACTAATTGCTGGGGGACCTAGGATAGCTAGGTGAGGTGGGAATGAAACCCCAAGTGGATTCCCTAAACAAGGAAACCACCAGTGGGATGGTAAGGGTCCACCAGCAAGAGGATTGGTTCATGGCCAGCGAATGGAAGTTGACCGGTGGTGGGCCCTCGCACGGAGGAGCGCCACGCGCTCTTGGACCGCGTGGCGGAAGATCCAAATCTCCTGCCGGGTCCCTGGGAAGAGCCCCACGGTCGGGGAGGGGTTGAAAGTGGGTGACATCCCGAGGGATGGGACTTTAAATGGGAGATAGGTTATCTCCTGAGACCCTCACTTGGCTGTTGGTCAAAAATGGGTACCCTCCAACATGGCAACTGACAGGTTGTCACTTCAAAAGGAATTTAATCTTCCAGGTACCTCCCCACAGGTGCCATGTTATAAGGAAGGGTATCCAAACGGGTTGCCCGGGTAAATGGAAACAAGAACTAAAACCGGCGGTTTTCTGGTGGCTCAATTTTGACCCATACCTACTGGAAGGGTCCCTGGGTATGCGATGGTCGGGGGGTTGAAAGTAAATAAAATACCTTAACGGATAGGACTTTAAAGGGAACACCTTCACGTGTTGGGTCCCTGGGAAGACCGGCATGGTCTTGGAGGGGTTGGAAGGCGTAAAGTTCTTTGGAGGGATGGCATGTTTAAAGGGGGTTAGAAGAGGGCAAAATACCTCGGAAGGTGGTTAGTGAGACCTTAGCAGGGAGATTTTCCCCGCAAATCAAAGACACAATCAAATTGCCGCCCATTGGTAGACATAGAAGCCTCCACCTAGGACCATGTCTCCACCCTGCGAACATCCAAGGTATCCAAGGGAATTAGTTGGACTTCGATAACGTGGCTCACGTGACTCCTTCTCAGATCACTTCTCCGAACCAGAAGTCTCATAGAGGAGTGCGCTTTCAAAACCAGTGTCTCCCTTCTCCCATTCTCCTGCGAACACCTTCACTTGTTGGGTCCCTGGGAAGACCCCAGGATGGTCTTGGAGAAGGTGGAAGGCGTAAAATCCTTTGCAGGGATAAGATAGTGAGAAGGCCTAGATCGGGTGCTGAATCAATCTTCACCCAAAGTGATCTAAGGAATCCCCACGCTGCTCGAAAAGAGACTTCTTAACCATTTTTTGGGGATGGCTTCGCTTTTGTTCATTGCAATGCTGCTTCACGTGGGGTGCCCTGTGCCACCAATTTGCCACCATACACCACAGTCCTGGATTTAGGGAAACCTGGACTTGCCTCCAAACGGCATCTGGGTGAATTATAGTATGTCACCAGCCTGAAATAAGGTGGTTGGGGGGCTATTTCCCGCATAAACCACCATTTGGGGTGAGGTTGTGTGAGGTCGTCATAATTCACCCAGACGGTATCTGGTTTCAAGTTACCCCAAGGAAGACCGTTTTCGACCCGGAGAAACCACCGGTTCAAATGGCTGTGGCTCAAAAAAAACGGAATTCCAAGATGAAACCCTGGTAAGTGGAAACATGGACCAAAACCTGCGGTTTGCCCCCGCCTCTTTCTGATTTTGAGCCACACCCAGTTCAGTGGGGCCCCTCTTCAATTGGTACAAAACCCCCTTCCTGTCTGATTTTGAGCCACGCCCAAAACTGCGGTGAACGAAGAAAAGAAAACGACCTCCCTTTCCGACGCGTTTGGATGTGGCATCCTGGGACAGGGGGCCAGGCCGGCGGCTCAGCTAACTGCTTTCGGCCAGTGGGAAAGTGAGAGTGAGAACCACCCTACTCCAATTACCAAAAAAGCCGGAAAAAACATTAAAAATAAAATAAAATAAAAAGCGAGGCATAGAAAAACACGATAGGTTCCCTTTCTACAACATGATAGACAAATGGAAGTTTTAGGTTTGACAAGGGGCGCCCTTTTCGCTGTGCAAGCGCGGGCAACACAATCCTCCTTGTAGTGGATTGCAGTCAAATTCTTCAAGTAAAACAACCACTTAATGTGGCGAGTCAAAAGGGGTGTTCAATTGTCCCACCAATAGGATAACGTGCGTCTCAGCTGAAATAGCTCTAAAATGGCTGGTGGTAAAGGGGAATTGCTTGACATAACTATTGCAAGCGGTGATCACTCTCATGACTCCCCAATGCAATTCCACATCAGAGTCGATCACCAGGCTTTCCACGTTCCCTTGCAATTCAGAAGTCCTCCATGCATAGGTGGCCTTTTGGAAAAATCCATGGGTTTCCCTAATAAAAAAAAGGAAAAACAAATCTAAACCACTGGAACCCATCTATCTTAAATGAGACTAACCGATCAAAAGGACACCTATGCCTCCATGAGACTTTTCTCTGACCTCTCACCCACTGTCCTCTGCTGTGGGATCTGGCGCTTCGAACATGAGCTTCACCTCGCGGCCAGGCCCACATCTCGTGCTTGTATAAGTGTGTCTTAAAATAAGGGACCCTTAAACAGGTGTTTGTTGTTGTTTGGTTTCTCTTAAACCAAACCCAAACTCGGTACCAAAAAAAAGAGAAGAGAACAACAAAGCCATATTTGTGAGGAACACTGACCCTCATATGGTGGTTTCCTTTGGTCTGGAAAAGGCAATGTCTTAAATTGCCAGAAGCCCTGCAGGCAAAAACACAACAACACATGGTGGTTCTCGTGGATCCCAACCTCATGTAAGGCATCGTCCATGTGTTGCTTGATGTTGCTTGGGGTCTGACATCAATTCCGTGCTAAGATTTGTTTCACGGACCTGCTTTTTCCGTGAACTTTACAGTAAGTCCCCCTAGTTTGGAAACAGCAAGCTCACCTATGTTTGCCTTGTGTCTTTAGAGGCTAGCCTGTTTTGGAGCCAGTTACGGCGACCAGTTTAAATAAACAAAACAAAGGGACACCGCGTAATTTGGAGGGTCCCCTGTTTGGAGACGAACCCACATGACACTAGATGTCAGCAAGTAGTTGGCCCAGGGCTCTTCTTTAGCAACTTGGTAAACTCCAAAGGGCCCGAGAGATTGTGTCTGGATGCTGGGTTTGCCACGCAAAGAAAGACTTGAAGCTCCCCCCTTGCCCAACAAGAGCCAACACAAGCTGGATACAGGGCGTCTCCCGTGTTCCCCAACCATTGAGCGAATTCCGTTTCTTGCGTTGGCAAGCAACACTAGGCATGGTGTTCGCAGGGGCTCCTTGGGTCCAAGTGATGCTTACACTGCTGGGTAGTTCTTTTGGCGGGGAGAACAGAAATATGCAAAGGATCATCCTGTTTGGCCAGAAAACATGGTTTCATTGTGGAAAAGCAACTACCAATTCATGTTATCCCCGGATTAAGCAGAACCCCTGGTTGATGAATAGGGGGGTGTCCAATTCCTTTTAGTGGGGATTCAGACCACTTTTGGAGGGGTTTTCACCCCCCTAATAATGGGACGGGTTCTACTTAGATCCTGGGTCAACATTAGTTCGCACCCAGATTGGCTGAACACCTTAGATCTGACCGGCTTGCGCCTTCATTCATACGTGCCAGAGCCGAGGGTGGAGCATTTGACCCAAGCTGTCAGCAACTCAGGGAACCCACAAGTCACCCTAAGCGAGTCACACTCAACCCTCGGTACAAAAATGGTCGATCCCCAGAACCATGCTTCAAGAATTAAGAAGGCGGCCGCAACAATTTCTGGCTGAGACCTTACTAACCTTCATCTACCCGGGTTTTGATTGTGGCTCAAGTGGAGTTGACCCTGCTGCTCATGGATGTTGTAGGTAGCGGCTAACCACTGCCCGAAGATCAAAGTACCCGTTTCAGGTGTTTGGAGCGAACCAAATGGGAAACTGCGGAATTGTGGGATGTTCCCTAAACAAATCCGGCGAATGATCTTCTTCAGTCAGGGGCACCCAAAGGCCACTTAACTCATTCTTCCAAAGGAACAGAGTACCGGGTGTCCGGTAAAACACGCCTTATGCAGGGGGAACCCGTGTAGCTGTGAATGACTAGACCATGAGGGATATTAATATTCCTAGCAGACGTGCTTGCAGCCAGACATGGAGATGAGAAGTGAAGGATATGTGGTACCGGGCACACTAAGTGGTGAAGCAACCAGTTGTGGGTTCTTGGATTCTCGTGGTATCCCCCTGTTTAAAGAGGGGCGGGAGTGTCTTTACGCAAAACCAACGGCCCTTGTTTTCTTGGTTCCCGGTGTGCCCAGTGCGCCCAGTGCGTGCGCTTACGCTCCGAATCCAGTCCTTCACGTTGCTCACCGCTCGGAGCCAAAGGTCCTTCTCATCCCCGTTCCGCGCGCAGAAGCGGTGACTCAGCGAGGGCTCTTCGCGATGGATTCGCGAAGCGATGCTGCGGGGTTTCACCTTCATCACCCGTCTAAAAGTGGCTCTACATCCTATTTTGGCTGCCTTGAGCTCGGCAGCTCCAAAAAAGGCAGTGACCAAAACAAAACGCACACATGTACATTCCATTGGCTTGTGAAATGCAATGCTCCAGGTCCACTGCTTCAGCAGATACTCTTGGATCAATTGGTGCAAGCCGCACCCGAGGCAATCCAATTTCCGACGCGGGTCTGCAATGGTCGTTTTCTGACAGCCGGACAGCCCAAAGAATCCGTGTTCAATTGGTTCAATACAGAGGCACCCCGCACATGTCCTTGAAAAGAAGGGTTCAGGTCGGCGAGGGTTCGGAGGTCCCAACTGACTACTTGAATTGAACGAGCATCTCTCTATTTCAGGCAGCCAACATCAAGAGCTAAATGGGACAATGAAGATCTCAAGCCTTGGAACAGCCACATCCTCCGGTAAGAGACCTGACAAGAGGGTATCTCTACCTAAAGCCTGGTACCAAGTGGTCGCCGGAAACAATACAGGGCATGTTGGGTGGGCGTATGGCCCATCAATGCGGCTGGCTTCTTTTGAGAGGGCAACCGCTTTCTTTAGGGAAGCCAATGCTCAAGACCGCTATGCTCAAAACGGTCAGCTGGGAACCCACGAGAATTTGCACTTGCTACACCAACCACAAAGCATCCCCAAAGACCCTCACCCCGACATTGTAGACCGTATTCGGCCGAAAGTGTGGAGAGTGTGGGACCCTTGGAATACACAGAGCACGCCGCCTGTGTTGCAACCCCGGCCTGAAGCCTACGCCTACATCGGCAAGCCGGCGAGCCAACCCCAGCAACCGGTAGCAGCTGATTTTTGTGGGGAACCCCTTTTTGGTTGGTTTTAATTGAAACCACATGGAAAAAACACCAGTTTGGGGGTTGAAAAACAATGACACAGAGAAACTGAGGGCCCGTGCTGATCGATGCCAAAGACATTGCAATGCACCCCTGATCTGGTACTCACCTCATGCGAGCCCGCACGTGGAAAGCAAAAGGATGGCACATCGAACGCAACCCCGGCAGAGAAAATAAAATAAAATAAAAAAAACATACCCAACCTACATGTCCTTTGTATGGACAAAATGAACAACATATACAGCGATAGATGTCCATTAAGACCCATGGAAAATCAAACATCTTCATCTGGACGTCCATGTCATGGGCTTCTCAAACTCTTTGAATCTGAGACCGGACATCTTTCAGCAAGCCAACACCCCGAGAAAAAGAAAAAAACAGCCATCAACCATCTCACCTCTGGGTCCACGGTGGAATTTCTATCGCTAGCTCCGTGACCCAGGAGGGTCTGGAATATTTAAGGTAGGGGTTAGTAGAGCATCGAACAAAATGCGCCATGGTTCCAAAAATACCGTGGCGTTTTTTTGTACTTCTAGTATTTACAGTCAAGAAAGCAGCCAGAATATATAGCTGATGGGCAACCGTGCTGAGTCTCTGTGCATCTTGGGAACATCCTGCCAAGGCATTTCACCGTGAAAAGCCGCTTCCCTGAAAGACTTCGCGACGCCAACAAAAACGGCCTGCACCGCAGGGTTCAGAAGGTGCTTGACAGGACAGATCTAGTCACCCCATGGTCCAAAAGGACGCCAGCCGTCCATTTGAGAAGACGGGCATGGTTGCCGCTCACCTCAGGTGAGGAATCACCCAACATGAAACGAGGAAAACCATGGAGCATTTCACCGACCCGCCAGTCAGGTTCCACGGCAAAGTGGGTTGGAGAAGGAGATAATAAAAATAATCGCGTGATTCTCTTACTCATTTCCTTAGTGAATTGGCCACAAAAGGTCCACACGTTGTGTTTACCACTACAATGGCCCTCCCCAAAGAGCTTAAAGTGCAAGAAATCGACAAGTGAGCTTAGGATGACTTAACTTTCCGAAATACCCCACACCGTTCCACTTGTTGGGATGTGATGGTACTTGGTTGTGATGGTATTTGGTTCTCTTGAATTTAGGGGACCCTAACAAATTGTGGTTTGCCTGTTGGTTTCCCTTGAACACACCCGGGAAAACAGAAAAAATAGAAAGGTACCCTCAAAAAAGACACACCCATTTAGGCCCGAGGTCAGGATTCCAAGGACGGCTGTTCCACCTCCGGAACTGAGGACTCGCGCGGTCGTGGCCTCTGACAAGATCAGCGTAGCCAACTGCGACCGGCGCGAGCGGCCACGGAGCACGGCCGAAACCACCGCTCAGGGGGGTTGATGCGATATAACCACAGGCCATGTGAAGCGTACCTGGGCAAATTGCCATTCAAGCAGAAAAATATGGATTTCCCAGGAAAAACACCATCCTGGATACGATCGCTTTACCTCCCCAGGTGCGCTTGTTGTATAATTTGCTCAAAAAAACACGCTAAACAGTCGGCAGTGGCTTGGGGGAGTGGACACCGCGTGAGAAACAGAAATACTAACCTGCGACCGGTGGATTCCCAAACTAATGTCAGAATTGAATTTAGCCAAACGACCACACTTCTCTTATCAAGGATGGTTCCCCTTGCGGTGGGCGAGCCCCTCCGTGCCTTTCCTCAGCATCCGTGGCCTTCATGTTAACTGTGCTTCATTGAAAAGCTCCAAGCTTTGGACATGTTTAGCAGGATATCCGCTGGCTGCTGCCGGTCTGGCTGCCATGCACAGGTTCGCTGGGCTATGGCGCCTCACGGTCGCACCACTCATCACGGTACAGGGTCAACTTGGACTCGCCCCGTGCGTACCTGCCGAACTCTGGAGGCGCATAGAAACATTAATCCGTCAGGATCTACATTCTACATTCTCGCCACATCTGCGAGCCTGGTAGAAGCTTAAACCCCAAAACTAAGTGACGCCTAAAACGTGGTACCCTCAAAAACCTAGTGACCCCCAACCCAAAACCAGTGACCCTCAGTCCAAAGGTCCTAAAACATGACCCTTGGGTTTCCTTTCGGTCCGACTCGACTGATTCAAGCGACTTGGTCACGCGTGGAGCTCCACGTAGACGAGCTCACAGGTGTCCATCGCGGCACCGTGCAGGAGAAAACCTGCCTCAGATCGGACCGGATCGGTCGCTGGAACTGCACCCTGCGCGGGGGTCTGTGCACTTCCATGTTAGCTGGTGGGAGGGTAAAGGGGGGGAGTGGCGCGGGGGGGTGGGGTATCCAGGTGAGGGCTGAAACCTGGAGTCGTAGGCAGAAATGAAGGACCCAAAAAAAAACCATCCAACTCATGGTTTCCTTTCATGGGAAATTCCTTACTGAGCACCAGAAAGTCATCTAGTTGTCAAAACAAAGGGGTGAAGGATGAACCAGAGAAACAGGCCCTCATATATGTTCGCGGTAGGTTCGCAGGCAACGTTTTCCGCACCCCCCTCCGAAGTGTTCCTCCCCCCCTCCCCCAAAATCACAGAAAGCACCCGGAACCCGCGGAATTCCCCGCGCATCCACGGAACCTGCCCGCTTCAGCGAACTCGAAGCCCGACCCAAACCCACTCACACCTACAGGCCTGTTTAGTTCATCTTTGGCGACATTACAAGTGGGCTGCCCTCAGATCCCCCGCTGAAAGTTTAACTTTTAATGGGTCCAGTGGCAACTACCACTAAACACTAAAAGGCTAAAAAGCTAAGGGGATGGCTGGCTGGGAGCCACCAAGTACAAGTTCCCCTTCAGAAAGTCAACCGAAATCTGAGCAAAAACGACTTATAAAGCAATCAGCCAAGGGACCCCCTCCCCCCGCCCCCACCACGAGTGCTGTAGCACTTCCAAAAACTGGCGAATCTTAAAATGGTCAAGGTGTTCTTTCAATCATGTTTCAATCACCCCAAAACGACCTGGACAAGCGAAAACCATTGGGTGTCTGTTGTTTTCAACACCCTTTTGGGTTGGTTTCCCGGGAAACCGCGAGAAAACCGTTGCCATTGGGAGGGCCCCATTTGGGTGTGTATTAAGATAGGGGTACCCCGCAAAATGGGTGGGTGACTCTTGGTTTCCCTTCAAAACCATCCGTGAAGGGTACCCCAATTTTGAGATGCACCCTCGTCTTTCGCACTTTTTGGGGTCAACGAATCCCTCACTGAGGCAGGTGCCAGTATCCGGGTACTGGTGGCTTCATTCCCCGGCAAGGGCTGCACCTGCGGGTCATGTTGGGAAAGGGCTGGCTCCTTTGAACCTCGGCAACTTCGGGGGCCAAATGATCGAATGGGGGTTTGGGGTATCAAATTAAGTCATGGCCATGGGAATCAAGTCGTGGCCATGAGAAAATATGTCTTACTTTGGGACCGGTGTGAAGCTCTTCTACAAGTCCTTGTAAGCCACACTGCCGATCGAGTCCGAAGATGTCCAATCTGCTTGCTTGCGAATGAAGTCCAGGAACTTCAGGAAGTGCAAACACTTCGCAAACCCTTGCAAACTTCTTGAACCTGGCAAAAACCTGTACGTAGCAAAGCTGTGAACTCATTGTAGCCCGTCCTCAGATCCCCTGCTACAAGCTTAACTTGTGATGGGATAAATGGAAACCCCATTTAAACCCCAAAAAACTAAAAAGCTGATGTGATGGCTGGGAGCTACCAACGTAAATCAAGCTCCCGCAGCAGCTGGAATTGATGACACACTATGACCAGGATAAACCACAGGAAGCGACTGCGAAGCGGAAACTGTCCGCAGTATGGCGTCAGATCTCCAAAGGCCATAGGAACTCTTGTACTCGCTCCGTGGGTCAGGGCGTGTACGTTGAGAGGCTCGCGCTCGGGTGCCCGTTTCTTCCTGGGCTTGGTCTGCTTGGGAGGATCGTGTTTGTTCACACCCAGCTTGTGGGGCTTGAACAGCCGGCTCTGGACAAACATATCCATTCCGTTTTGGTGTCCATCGGCGGGAAACAAATAATATACGGGCCATCTAGAGGAGGACCCCCCCCTCAAAAAAAAAGTGCTCCTTGTGGATTCCCATTGAACCAACCTGAAAAGGGTACCCAGAAAAACAACCACAAATTGAACCCTCATTGCCATTGAGGGAAAACAGACCCTGATAATCCGCCAGGTTGAATCAGTAAGGGTCGACATTGTGCCCGCTGCTGTGCTCGCCAGGCAAGGATCCACCAGACGTCTTTTGGAGATCGCAAAGTCATTGAGGGAAGCAAGCTGGAACCTCAACACCTGTCAATCGTAACACTCTCGAATGGCAAGATAACTAGTCAGGTATGTAGAAAGGTACGACCACTGCCAGAGCAGTCTGATTGAAAGCGGGCGATCTGTTAGGTTTTATGTGTATAGTACTTAATTAATGTCTATTTGTGTGCTACGTTTACTTTAATTCTGTATCTTGGGGGGCAGGGGTTTGTACTGTTGCCCAGCCTTTCCCGGCCCGGTTTTCTTGGCGAATAGTTTTTGCTCCACATGTCTGGTAAAAATGCAAATCCCCCTCACTTCCTTGGTAGCCAAGGGGACTTCCCCCAAGGGAGCCCCAGAACTCGGTCACCTTGATGCGATTGCATCCGCCTCCTTGAAGCCTCAAAGGAGTCTCCCGTTAAACCTGTGCAACAACCCACAGTCGATAAGAATGCTAAGCGCAACCCATTGTTAGTTGGCAAAATGCTCAGATTCCTACCAGGCAGGATAGGAATAATTTTGGGGGCCCCCGTTTTGACCCGGGGCAACTTTTTCCATGTGGGACATATCATCATTTTAGTGGGTGTCCCCAATGGTCATCCCATGTAAAGGACTTTTGATCAACCCCCATATGGCTGTGGGTCAAAGCCCTGGTACCCCGCACCGAGATTCCCTTTCAAAATGAACCCAACAAAAGGGGGAGTTACCCACAAACGGGTAGGGTCAAAAGACCCACACCCATCTGCCACGTTCATTCACTCTTTCGGCTTTCGACTTGCTTTCGGGACCCGCCTGGATGGAAGACAGCGGGTATAAGGACTGGGTCACGTGGCCCACCAGGCTCCCGATCTTCTCCACCCATCGGTCCCTCTCCTGGAATCAATTAGGAAAATCCTTTTTGTTGGCTCTGGGAACAAGAACACATAAAACCATCCATGGATGATGAAAACCCTTAGGTAAATAATGGTGGTGAAACTAACCCCGATTGTTCCTTTAGGGCCCTTCCCGGCGGGCATGGCGTATTTGCTGTGAGGGGAAGGCCAGGGGCTGCTCCTTGGGGGTGTAGTCTGAGGGCCCAAGCTGGGACAACACATCCCCATTTCGGGGTTACTTCCGGAAGATCACCCTGGGCGGGGAATGAGTTCACCCGTCTCTCTCTTCCGAAGTTCGCCATATTTCGCCTTGATCCCACGTGGGGCCACGCGCCTGCCCAAACTAGCCCGGCAGTTTGGACATTGAGCAGGCCCAACTCGAACATCTCAACTTTGTGTCCAGTATGGTTTGCTTTTCGGTTGGATTCTCGGTTCAAGGGCCTGAGCTGCCTTCATTGAGTTGGCATTGCCACGGTACGAATCAAATTCTGGCTGCATTCATCTGTTCTCCTCCTTATCGCTTGACAATAGCCACGCACGGGCCCTGATCGCTGACTAAGCTGCCATTGCGTGGTTTTCCCTTTGCAGCCCGTTTCAAATTTGAACTGCAGGCTATCGCTTTTGGTCGAAATCTTATCGTTTTGCATGGGGTTGTGAGGTTTTAGGCAACCCCCCAGCCTCAGGCCAACCAAGATACGCACATCGTTCTCCTTCGATCATGACTTGGTTTACTAGTACCCCCCCCCCTCCCCAATTTTAGACCCTTACACTCTTCAAACAAAATACACGAGGGACCAAGGGAAATGAACCACTGGGAGGGAATTAAGGCGAAAAACAAACAACGCGGACCAAGAACTAAAAACACCGATATGGAAAAAGGAATATTTTTTGGCATTCAAATCACATCTCTGTTTTGATGTCAGGACCATCTCTTGTGCCACTTCAGGAAGTGTTGAGCCCTCGGCCACTTCCCCTTTTCGGACCTGACATGTACAGGGGTTGTCATACTTCTATTGCAAAAGGCCATGGAACTTCAGTGGTTGATCCTTGGGGGGGATACAAGAAAGGAATCCCGCACTGACAACACCAAATCGCTGATCAACCTTTGTCTTGGCCATACCAAAAAGGCCAAACCAACAGGTCCTTTAAGGGCATCAAGTGCGTTCCGTCTGGTAATCTCATGGGCCTGGGTCTGGGTCTACAACCATCTGCCACCCCCCCCCCCCCCAAACGGCACCTTAGACAACAAGGCAAAGATCAGTCAACCAGCACCAGCCCAGCCCACAAACTGCAATCCGCCACATGTCGAATCTGTCTCCTTGTAGGCGTTGCCGCCAGTGCACGCAAAGTAGAGGCACAAGTCGTGCACCCCAGCTCGGAAGACCTAGATAGCCGGTCAGAAGCAAGGAAAACAAGCACATAGCCGGAACTGCGCCTTGGTTGCGCTACTCTTGTCGGAAAGGTCAAGTGATGATAACTACTTTTCGTGTTGGAAAAGTAAGGGATATATGGGACAATTAGCAAAGCTAGCAACAAGAGTCTGCATACACTCAAGCCCATTTGCGTGTGTGTCTTTGTTTGGAGGGCACGCTGGGGCTGGTTGAAACGGAAGCCGCCGGCAGATGAGGCGGCACTCGCTGTTGCACAGCTGGGGCGTACCGGCACCACATGTCCACAAATGGCCGGGTCTTTTTTTGAGGCTACCCTTTTTGGGGTTGGTTCAAATGGGAAATCAAGAGAGAAAACCGCCGATTTTGCTGGTTCTATTTTGAGAAGCGGAATCTGACCCAAACGAGAGACGAGAGAAGCGGAACCTGCGCATTCGGAAGAAAACTACAGCATTGCCAAAAATGCGTCGCGGAGTACAGCGGTTTTGCAGCAAATTTGCATACTTCGATTCTAGATTTCGAACGATGCATTCTTACAAAACAAAGACTTCCCGTAACCAGAACGTTCTGCCCAAACTCACGCTTTAGGTAGTCTACGTTGATAAAGGTAACCTATGAATATAGACAATGGCTGCAAACATCTACTGCAACATCTTTGAGCCAGTTCCCTCGGCATGCAGAGTGTGGGGGATTATGGTAGCTTCGATTTGGTTGACCCTACATAGGTTCTAACAAGCTGGAACACGCCGGAGAAAAACTGCGTATGATTGGAAATCAAATCGGCTTGTGCAAAACAGCCTTATCAAACAAAAGGTGCCTCTCTCAGTCTGCCCTGAAAGTAAGCTCCCATCAAAACTCAACTGACAGTGGACGGGTCAATCGATTCAACTCGGTTCCAGATGTGAAGGCCAATCCAATTTTCCGTACTCCGCCTGGGAATGGGATAAAAAACGGTCATAACCCCCCCTCCCCCCAAGCGGGGTTGCAGGTTGGCGATTTGTTCTTACACAGAACCACCTTTATGACCGAACCCAGGCGGATAAGAAATCCCAGGCGGGAAGCCGTTAAACCACTACAGAAAATAGATTGCGTAAACCAAGAAGATCTGAGGCCTTTTGAAGACCCAGTTGAACTGAATGTCAAATTACTAGTATCAATGCATCGGCACATGCCCAGCGTGTCGAGCTATCAATCTGCACAGGTTCACGAACTGATGGGATGACTCAATCTATCATTGCAGAATTGGCGTGTTGCAACTGATAGACCTACCCTCCTCTGCTCCTTGACTCCCAATCCAGGCAGTATGCCGCAGTCTGGGTCAAAACTCGATCACCAGGATTCAAATGAGCCGTGTCAAAATAGGGGAGCCCCGAAACTTGCTAGTTTTCTCTTGGTTTCCCTTCAAACTCTGAAAAGCCGACCCTCAAAAAACACACACACCCTTCCAACAATACGGTGGCCACTTTGAAACCATGGAAAACCATTGTTTGTTGGTGATTACAAGGGAATCATCATCCCAGGGTTTCTTACATAATGCGAAAGGGATTTTGTCCATCCACAGTATGGGTGCTAACATCGATTGGAGACCTCTTGGTGGCCATGATTTGAATGAAGGTGTTCCCTATAATAATTAAAAGACACGTACTTGGCAGACCCTGTGAGTAGACAACCTCCTACAGTTGGAGGTGGTTTCGCTGTCCCAACCGGTACTGGAAGATTGCCCATTCGAGGACACTGAAGCAAACACTGGAGCAGTCCCCCAAAATGGAACTGGGAATGAGGGAATGGTCCCATAAACCATCCCCTGTGTTTTCCGGAGCCATTGATTCCCTCGAAACCCGGGTGACTTCGATTGAACCAGCCAGCAGTTCAAGGAATCACTCGGTGTGGGTTTGCGGTGAAATTCTTTGTGGTTGGCTTCAAAAGAAAGCCGAAAAGCGGTAGTCACGTGGCTTTCCAGCCGCAAATGTTGTATGCTGCCCTTTGGCTGGTTGGCGGACTGGCATGGCAGTCCCTTAAGACCGGCCACCAAAACGAAAAAAACGCTGGCTTCCCTGTGGCGTCCCGTCAGGGCTTTCTGGACAGGACCACTGTGATACAACAAAAAAGGGGCCTCCCCAAAGAGGCCAAAAGCAAAACCCCCCCCAAGCCAAAGAGGGATCGGATTTGTTGGTACCACAGATTTGTTGGTATCACAGATTTGTTGGTACCCAAAGAGGATTTCTTGGTATCACAGATTTGCTTCATAAGCCCCGGCTGGGTGATTTCACAACCTCGGGAAGCCCCGTCGAAACCAAGGGGTCCAACGTGAGAAACCGCCGAAACCGCCGAAACCGCCACCAGGGCGGCACTAGGCCGCCGCGCAGTTAATTTGAAGACCGCCCAATAGGCGGAGTGCTGCAAGGTCTTCACCTGGAGAACAAACAAAAAACACTTTTCTGGGTCCGAGGAAAAGGAATGGACTGGCCCTGCTTGAGGTTTAACCAAAAATCATGTTATTGCTTCTGGCCCATTTCTTGAAGCAGATCTACCTTTCAATTCGAAACCAAGGATGGCTGGACCCCAATGCCATGTTCCTGTTGTCCGGGTTGGCATGTCCGACTTGGGCAAAATGCGATGCAGTGCTTCAGTCACCCCTATAGGCAAGCAGGACACACCACACGACATGGCAAATTTGACTGCTTTGGTGGTAACTGGAGGGTTCAGGAAAGCAAGGTGACGCATGATTCCGATTATAACTTAGTGTCTGGAAGCACTGGATAGGCTTTGACCAGTGCTGAGAAACAAATCCCTGGAGTCATAAAGTTTGGCGATTCCGACTTTTAGGTTCTCCGAATGGGCGGCCTTCATTTTCCAAAGCAGGCCATTGTCCTCCATACACAGCACCCCAAACGCTAACTCAAAGGCGATGTTGAAACCATCCCAAAAACTGAGCCCTGACAGACAACCAATCCATGTTTTGCGGTTGTCCTGGCAATAGGGAATCGTGCAAGCGTCACTTCTACTACCCTTTTGCCTGGGTCAAAGGTAAGCCTAGCATGGAAGCACTGTCCATGTTAAAGGTCCGCAACGTTTGTTTATCCACATTCCGTTAAGGGTTGATTAACATAAAAGGGTCGCAATGTTAAACCCTCATGCCCTGTACCTTTCCCAACAACATTCGCTCAACTACCGAACAACATGCATCCCCGTTTAGGCCAAGCCTCGCGCTGAGGTCCTCTTTGGGCAAAAAATGAAGCCGACAAAACCATCCATGTTGGGAAGACGTTCTGCCTGAAGGTGGCCCCTTGCTTGCCCCATTTGGACCAACCTGAAGTTGACAAACCAGAAAATACTGGTGCTTTCCATGGACACTGCTGTGGGAGATCCCAAAAAGAAAAGTTGGAGGAAAACCCTGTAAACTTCGACTTCCAAAAATTGTTGATTTGGATTGGTGGTTTGGTTGTGAAACGGGGTGGTGTTTCATCAATTTCTACAAGAAGCAGGGCAGCAAATCCAAATCCAAACCAATCCAAGCCACCAACCTGACGGGTTCCATGAAACTTGTAAACAATGCAAAAACACATATATATATATATATATGTATATGTAAATACATATATATATATATATACATACAATACTGTATATAAATATATATATATATATATATTTATTGGGTGTAGACATGGATTATAACAAATAACACAGAAGAAGAAAAAAAAGGAAACACGAGCCGGCGCTCCGCCTGGCACTTCTCCACCAATGAGAAGGGAGACCAGGCGCGGCTGATTTTGCTGGCCTCGCCTGCGAGGGTCCCAACGTTGCGACTCGAAGCTCACAAAGCGGACGAGGACCGTAGGTGACGGACCTTTTCTCGGTTGCTCTCTGCTCCGCTAAAAGTTTAGATGGGGTTCCCTGGCAAAGGCTTCATGAAACCAATCTACACCGCAGCCCAGCGATTTTTTGTTGATTCCAAACTAGCCGGAAAAGGACATCTATGATGACGACATACACCACGTTGCGGTGGAGTGCTGGAGCAAAAGGCCGGGGTTGCAGAAACCAGGCAGCCCAAAAAGAGTCACAGGAGAGGGTCGAGCATGGTCAGCTTAGTCAAATAACTTTGGACACACCAAAGAGAAACAACATTTAAATAGCGGCTTCTTCTGCATGCGTGTGCCGTCGTGTGTGGCTTGAGCAGGTCTGTTGGATCCTGCAAGAAAGCTTCATCATGAGAGTCAAAGCTCGATATACCCGAGCTTGCAGAAAATTTGGCAACTTCTCTTGGCGCCTTATTGCGTATCCAGTAGCCATCCACAATCCATGCATGCAACTGTCCGTCCGTTCGTGCATCCATCCAGTGAGCCGTCCATCCCGCTTCCTCTCTCTCTATCTCTCTCTTGGTCTCTGTGTCTCTTTCTCTCTCTCTCTCTCTGTTATCTATCTCTCTCCCTCTCTCTCTCTCGTTCTCTCTCTCTCTCTGTCTCTCTCTGTCTTTCTCTCTTGGTATCCCTCCCAATTCCTCTCTATACCCCCCCCCCAATTACACATCTCCATATCCCGCTAGTGATCTTTATGTGGAACTCTTAATCTCTAGTCATCCCTCTCTGCATTGGAACCTCTCTATCTGCATGAATCTTTTGTCTCCGTGTCTCCATCTCCAACTCTATCCATCTTAATGCTTTGTCCCGCACACTTGGGCAAAGAAGATCCAGCAACCAGGCCGCAGTCCCTTCCAATGGAAACCCAAAGAAGCTTGGCTAAACACTGGGTTAAACATGGCCCGGCCCAGCCCTACTTCCCGTATGCCGAAACCACCCATGGATGCTTGTGTACCTGAGGCAAGCAGCAAGAATCCACGAGGTTGCCTATAGGCCACAGGTTTCTAAACGAGTGGATGGGTGTGAGAAGGAAACCCATGCCTTCCCCAAGCCTCTCCCTCACCCCTATGATTGGGTGTGGTGAGCAAAGGGATAGATTCTGCCAAATCCACGAAGGATTGACGACCATTCCAAGTCGTTCAACTCTGGCCCTACCCACTTCCAGTCCCTCATGATCCAAAAAATGAGTCCTTACGGTCTGATTCAGATCCATGCATAGGTAACCCTTGGAATGTATACGTCGGTTGCTGTTCACCCCTCTGCAAAACAGTTTAACTTTGTGTGGGTCCAATCCCGAAAAAATCCGACCTGTTTTAATTAACAAGGTAAAGTTCAATGATATTAAATGGCCACAAAGCAAGAATCAACAGAACCCACATTCCATAACCCAAAAACGGGCCTCCCCCCGGCGGCTGCATGGTAAAGCCATTGGCCTCAGTCCCGAGTCCCGAGTCCGATATGGGGCACCTTGGGACCTGCGACGCCAACAAAATAACTTGACAGAAGTGAGGTAGTGGGGATGGGACTCCTACCTTGGTATCACAGAATTCGGGTTGTGCCACAACCATACTGCAAAATAACATGGAAACACCAACAAACCTATCAGCTTCTGGAGGAGCCTCCTTTTGCAGGACCACAAACACAGCTCCATGTTCATTTTTGGGGGGGTAGAAGGGTGTGGGCGTCTTTGCAAACAACTTATTGCTCCCCCTACTCACTCCCCAGTTGACCTTCACCAGAACAAAGGCTCCAAATTCGGGGCTCAATTGGCGTTGTTTTCTTTCTCGCAAAAGGGTCCCACAAGAAGCTCGGCCCCTTTGGAGTACTTCACACCGCTCGCAAGATGCTTTGCGGCTTTGCACCGCTCAGAGGCGTGAGAGCAGGAGCCGATCGAAAGAGCGTTCAGAACATGTAACTGGAGGGCTCTTCCCCCTTTCTTGCGGGAAATTTCGTGACTCTCCCCACGGTGTCTCGGAAATTGATAAGAGACTACGCTGTATTTAGATCGAATCTGCAAGCAAGATGCTTTAAGGCGCTTCAGACAGGATGGAAGCAGATCTGGTCCCCTCAATTCCGAGTCGAAATCCGGGACACTTCGTTTTGGGTCTGATCTCTGCCAACAAATCTCAGTCAAGTAAGCTTGACCTGGTCCTTGCTCAAATATTCTGCCTATAGATTGAAGAAAACGTTTTTCTTTTTTTTGCAAAGGCCGAGAGAACGATACCTACAGCTTTCAGGCAGCTGTGGCTGTCAGCACTTGTTTGCACCAAGGAGGGCTCCTGAAAACTCGAGATTTTGTCACCCTTGACCTCAATTCAGGCTGTGCATTGATTGGTGCGGCTTCAAAAAGCCGAATGGCAGTCAATGACCGTCTACCTTACCGCAAGCAGGGCAAGGGTATCCTGAGCTAGCATATTCACTTGAAATGACAACTTCTCAAAAACAAACAAGCAAGCAAACAATCAAACAACCAACCAATCAAACAATCACAAGACAGGCAGCAGGAAGCAAGCAAGCAAGCAAGCTAGCAAGCAACCAAGCAACCAAAACAACTCAAACTAAGAAACAAAAAAGGTCAAACACAAAAACACAAACAAGCAAGCAAGCAAGCAAGCAAGCAAGCAAACCAAACAAGAAAGAAGCAACGACAATCAAATAACAGTTACTTTGAACAGGAAAGAAACGCAGGCAAACAAGCAAGAGAGCAAATAAACAAGCAACCAAAAGCCAGCAAGCAAACAACCAAACAAACAAGCAAGCAAACAAACATAACAAAAATAAGCAAAGACAGGCAAATAAATATATATATATATATATTTGCTTAAGCAAACAAATAACAATCAACAAAACAGCAAGCAAGTAAACAAACATACAAACAAGCACAGCAACGACCAAAAAAACATCAAAGATGCAAACAAACAAACAAACAAACAAACAAACAAACAAACAAACAACCAAACTAACAAAACAACAAACAAACAAACTAAACACCCAACGAGCCAACCAACCAGCCAGCCAAGTAACAAAACAAACACAAACACACAAGCAAGCGAGCACGCAAACAAACACACACACACACACAAACACTCAAACAAACAAGCCACACAAACAACCCCAAGCAACCACGCAACAAAGCAACCAAGCCATGAAGCAAACAAGCAACCAAGCCACACAAACAACCCCAAGCAACCACGCAACCAAGCCATCAAGCAACCAAGCAACCAAGCAACCAAGCAACCAAGCAACCAAGCAACCAAGCAACCAAGCAACCAAGCAACCAAGCAACCAAGCAACCAAACAAGCAAGCAAGCAAGCAAGCAAGCAAGCAAGCAAGCAAGCAAGCAACCAACCAACCAACCAACCGAAACAAAGAAGCCAACAAACAAACAAGCAAACCAACAAGCAAGCAAGCAAGCAAGCAAACAACCAACCAACCAACCGACCAACCAACCAACCAACCAACCAACCAACCAACCGAAACAAAGAAGCAAACAAACAAGCAAACCAACAAACAGGCAAGCAAACAAGAAAACAAGCAAACAACCAAATGAACAACAAACAACAACGAATTGAAAAAACAAAGAAGCACATACCTAAAACAACGCAATGAACCAGCAAACAAAACAAAATAAACAAACAATCAAGCAAGCAAACAAGCAAGCAAGCAAGCAAGCAAGCAAGCAAGCACAAACAACAACGAAAACAAACAGGCAAGCAAAGGTAGAAACAACCAGGTAAGCAGGCAAGCAACCAAATAAACAAAAAGACAAACAAACAACCAACACAAACAACCCAACCAACCAACCAACCAACCAACCAACCAACCAGCCAGCCAGCCAGCCAGCCAGCCAGCCAGCCAGCCAGCCAGCCAGCCAGCAAGCCAGCCAGCCAGCCAGCCAGACATCCAGCAAGCCAACCAACCAACAAAGACAAACAAACAAGCAAACAAACAAGTAAACAAACAAGTAAAGTAAGCAAACAAACAAACACACAAACCAACAAACCACCCAACCAACCAACCAACCAACCAACCAACCAACCAACCAGACAGACAGCCAGCCAGCCAAAACAAACAAGCAAGCGAACAAGTAAACAAACAAGTAAGCAAACAAACAAACACACAAACAAACAAACCACGCAAACAACCCAACCAACCAACCAACCAACCAGCCAGCCAGCCAGCCAGCCAGCTAACCAACCCAAAAACCAACCAACCAACCAAGCAACCCAACCAACCAACCAACCAACCAACCAACCAAAACAAACAAATATACAATCAAGCAAACAAGGAAACAAGCACACAAACAAATACAAGGGCCTGGGCCAAGCATCAAGCTGGTTGGCTGGTTGACTCGGGGCCACGCGTAGAGGGTCACGGTCATCTGCTGAACGGACTCCTAAAATGGGTGTGTCTGAATATAGGATCAAAAATGGCGGGGGGGGGGATGTGGCTGTGGATCAAACATAGGTACCCAAAATGGAACCCTGGTAAATGGAAACAACAACCTAATACCTGCGGTCCCCTGGTGACTTAGTCTTGACCGTTTGCCCTTTAAAGAAAGGGTACCTTCACAAATCACACACACACACACATGCACACAAACAGGGGAACGATTGTTCGGAGGTGTCCCTTAGGAAACAAATTATCTACTTCTCCCTACCCCAAAAAAGGGCCTTGAGCCTCCCAAACAACCGAGCCCCGAGGAAATCCTGCCGCGGCAAACGTGTTGGCCGCTGATCAGCAGATATTATCTGGTGCCTCACAAGACGGGCAAAAGGAATTATTTCCCCTGTGGCTTGGTTTTTAAATGTTGTGTGACATTTGGCACCCAGATTGGGGCAACAAGGAGAACCCCGCCCCATGAACGTGCCGGAGGTTGCTGGTTCGAAGCATGTTGAAGGAGGCCATGTTCTTCTCTGCCATGTTCCAGGTGGGATTTGCTACCAACTAACTCTAGTAACCCTCTTACAAAATCGAAGCACAGCTGAACTCTTCGACGGCTCCAAGCAATGCCTGCCCAAGTACTCTGGCAAGTAACTCTGGAACTGCTAGGCTGGACTTGTGTCTTGCACCTAGGGAAGCCTCCCTACCGTTCCTTCAGGTCAGGCAAGGCCATCCATTCTGTGTAGCCCCAAATGTCTATCGAATCGGAATCTTTGCGAGTGACTATAGGCAATTTGGGGTTCACCAAGTAGTTGTTGAGGTCTAGCAAAATTCCAGGCGCTTTCATAGCGGTATGTGGCTGAGTGGCTGCATGTGAAAGTGTTCATGCAGCACTCATGTTTGGTGAACTGTAAAAGGAAACTACACTTACAGAACATCCCTGAACGCTGTACCAAACACATGGCAAAAAGCAAACACCGACATGACTGTGATGCTCTTGACACATAGTGCGCTTCAATTATCACTGCCCTAATCAGGATTTCGAACATCCCGCGTTTATGTTCGCGTCAGCGACTTAGCAGGCGGATGTCTTGGCGATTCTTCCATTGGAAGCGTGCAAAAGCTTCATAACAGAACATCGCCCTTGTGGAAGCAAAAACGGCTCAAACAAGCTGTTTAAATTGGCGTTGGGTCGAGTGCCGCCTAGAAACATTGGGCTTATGCACCTTGTGTACAATCGCGGCTGAGCAGAAATATGCTGGCGCGTCCGAATGACCATGGAGAGGAGGAAATCAACATAGCTAACACACGGAGCGCTGCAGAAGGGTGTGCATGACCAAACAAGTCCTCATTGCAAGCCTTGCACACACAAAATGAGCCCCCCTGTCAAAATGTCAAGGCTTGAAAGGATGTCTTCAACCAGGGTTTGGCTAACCGGTCTAAACAGTCTAAACACCTGTTGTTTGAACCTCCTTCGGGTTCTCCTTTCAAAAGAGCCAGTCTCCAGTTGCTAATGACACCCGATCTTGCCCCAACCTCTCCCAAACCTGTGGACACAAATTTCAGAACTCCCCAGCAGGTTATATCCAGCAACGCAACGAGCCCAAGACCACGGTGGCGTTTTTTGCAGTTTGTCCAACGCTCAGACCTAAAAGCCAAAACGAGCTTAGTTCATCCATCGCAGATGCAGTACTCAGGTGACTGGATACTTAAGCACCGCCTGGCAAACGGCTGAGGTAGACAGAAAGTCACATTTTCGGACTCGTATGCTTGAGAAGACCCCAGACCTCCAAAAGTATCACGCCAGTTGGACCAACTCTGTTGACTAATGTGCACGCACGCACACACACACACACACACACACCTTACTGCGTCTGCAAACCCACACCCCAAAGTGTCCTCCAGCTTGACCTGCATCAGGGTCCCAATCATCTGCCTCAGCCGTCACCCACTTCACCGTGCGCCTCAAAAACACCACCCAAACGCCCACCTAAAAACACTTGCGTTCGGTTTGCGGGGAAACGGTCCACGTAGCACACCTTGCCCAGCAACATGAGCTGCAATGGCTGGCAAGTGAAGCAGATGCTTCAAATGGCGGAGATGTTGCGGGGGACCAGTGGGGTGGTGCAGGATGATACTATAAGGCCCCAGGGCACAGATTGTCGACAGCCCGCCAGTTGTTGCGCGGTGAAGCGTTTACTTTTGGTGTGCCCTGGATACTTCGGATATATTAGTGAATTGTTTGATGTTTCTATTGCTGCAAACATGTTTCTCCGTTTGCTTGAATCCCCTGGCAACATTGATCAAGTGGTGATAGTTTCCCTTTAAAAGCAAGGAGGATATTTAACAAATGCGCTTAAGCAGATGGAACTGTTCACAAAATCGGGCCTAGCTTTGACGTCCACTTGAGTCATAACTACAGTTCCAAGGAATGCAGTCATTGCAGGAACCTCAAAGACGGCCGCCTCTGTTGATCTTTGGGAAGCAAACCTTACGAATCTCCAGCTGATCAAGTCTGACTTGGCTCACCTGTATGAATCAGCCAGTGCTATCTATGGGTTTAGGTTAGATGCTGCATTTGCGACCAAGCAAAAACCAACAACAGGGCAGCTGTGGAGCTGTGTGTGTGACCTAGCTGTCGCGTCAGGTTTTTGACTGTCTGATCGGCTTCAATGGAACACATGGCACTGGCAAATGGAGCTTGGAACCAAACCGAAAAACCAGTGGAATCCATCTGCTTGGCGAAAAGGACGAAAAGCCTCCAGTCTCTGGGGTTCGGAAGCCTTGCAGAAGTTCTTTGGAAGCTTTGTCTGGGCCTTGTCCATTTGGAGGTCTCGAACATTCCAAGCCCTGTCGTCGGTGTGTCCAATTTGTTGAGGTCCGGTACCCTTCCGCGGTCGTTTTCAAACAGAAACCACTGGAAACCTCCCACTCTTCAGTGGACGTTGAGACACAGACTTCGCGGCACTTCCTAGTCACCTGCAGGAGTTTTCCCAAATGCAACCTCATTGGTGCAAGTCCCATACGAGGGGACCACTCTGAACTCTGAAGCTCATTTTCCCTAGCAAGTCAACGGGGTCGCTTGTGTCAGATTGCAACAGGGACGGAAATTTCAGTTTGCCTGTTCTTTCAGGCAGTGACATCCATTTGTCCAAAAGGACACCTAAAGCCCATTTTCAGGAGTCCATATTACAGTCCACCCATTTGTCGGTTCCCACAAGGCTAAGCTTCCCCCATCCCCCAAGTCGCTCCATTGATGAATTCCATTGAAACGATCGCCACTGTTGCAGGTTCCCTTGAAAAGTAACCTAACAAGGGTTGAAAATGCAGAGAAGCCGGCAAAATTTACTACCTTCGGGTGTGGGTGTGTCAACCAAAATTGGAGGGAGATTCAACTGCTTGGTTTCATTTTCCCTTTGCAGCCAACCGAAAAATAAATTAAATGGATTTGGCAGGTTCCAAAACCGGGACATGGACCCAACACCCGTGTTTTCAAATGGGAAGACTGCTTCACCAACGACCCACGGGCCGACGGGCACCACTTCTGCCGCTTCGCTCGGGTTCCAGGCGGCTCCCCGATCATGGCCTCCGTCTCTGCGGCTTGGAAAGTGGGCACCTGGCCGAGGCCAAGTTGAAGCTCGCTCGAAGAGCACTTGGCGCACCTCGTGCCTCCCAAAAGACCCGACAACAAAAGAACATATGTATATATATATACGGGTATGAACATATATGTGTATATATTACAAACATATATCTATACATATATATGTATATATATATATATATACATATATATTATTCTTCCAACAACCGTGTTGAAAACGGTTTGGGTTCACAAAGCCTGCGGTTCCGTGTCTCATGCCGATTCCTGAGTTCCCTGTGAACCATCATTACAACCTAGGCCAAGGGACCTCCCTGTGGCAAAACTTTGCTTTTTGCGTCCCCGATCGCCCCTTCAAAGCAACCCTCTCATCCACTGCGAGAGGATCCATAGAAGAAACTGGTCTCAACCAGGCAGGTTCAGTTACTCACTTCCTGAGTTGGCCGGAAAAAACAAAAAAAAACTGGAACTTGTTTTCTACCACCAAACTCGTCCAAACCCAAAAAAAAATGACAAGTTCATGAACTTAGAAAGTGGGGCTCCAGTTGTTTCCAGTGTCCCGCGTTTTGCTGGGGACCAACCCCCCGGAGCCACCGGGGGGGCAGTGACCCGGGGCCCCACACCGCGCGGAGCCGTGGCCCGGCTGGCAGCTTGCCCCGCAAGCCGCCCGAGCCTCAAACGCGCGCCGCTTTTGGGCGGAGAAACGCACAAAATGCGGATGGTTGCTCCCAAAAAAAAGCTGATTTAGATGGGTTCATCTTGAAACAAATGCGGATGGTGGCGAAATCCAAAGAAATCGCTGCGATTCCCCAGTTTAAATACCAAGAAACACTGGCTTCAACCATGGTTTTCAAGCTGTGTGAAATGGATTTCGGCCATCCACAGTAGGAAACTCCAAAGATGGTGGTTCTCGCTTTGGTTTCTCTTTCAAACCCACACAAAAGAGAGTTCCCTCCCAACAAACAATAAAGACATCTATAGGCAATTACCAGGGGACCGGGTGAGTTTCAGCCAAAGGACAATCATGTAAGCACCCAATTTCGGAACCCTTTTTAACCCATTCAACGGGTCGCAACCTTCGCAGAGCTGATTTTACCTCAAATGGGCATGTCTGTTTGCTTGAGTTGGTACTTCTTTTCAGGTGGTTTCAAAGGGACACCAGAAGGAACACCACTATTTTCAGGGGGTCTCCCCGGAATACAAACAAACAAAAACACAAGAAAAAACAAAAAACAACACACCCGCATGAGCTCCTTCTAAAATTGAAAGGAACACTTTCCGGTTCAAAGGGCGAGCGAGACGGCTCCCATGGCTTAGGCCTATGCTCAAGAAACGTCTGGTGAACCTGTTGACGTGTCAAGCTGCTTGGAACAAGACACGGCTCCCAACAAGAAAACTAATCTTCAACTTGATCTGTCCAACATCGAATCAGACAATGGAGGAACCATTTAAGATGGGGCTCGAGCCCTTCCCAAACAGGTGTTCTCATGTGTTGATAGGTGAAGTGTCATACCATGACCTGCCAAATGTTTATTTGATGAGACCATGTTGGGAGATCTGAGAATCTCAATATATGCAACCGCCGAAACAACATGGGCGGTTTTGCTGAGGCACTCAGCAAACCCCAAACCGGATACTGCACCCTAACAAACCATGTTGGCGGACTATGCTTACATCTTCAGCTCCTGCTTGGATGCTGCATTGGCCCTCTTCAAACAACTTTTCATGTGCCTCCATTCGGCCTTGACGATCTTAGACGAGTGACTCGAACCAAATAAAACAGATCCCGAAACGCTGGCATCGGCTCTCAAAAAAAGAAAACAAAAGGTCTACCCATCGCGCAACATGTAATTTGAAGAAACTACTGGCAGCCCTTGCAATTTCACTAGGCTGGTTGAAAAAACAGACCAATCCGGATCCATAATCCATAGCAGGAAGCCACTACGAAAGGGAGTTCTGTCGTAACCAAACAAAAGTACAGTGTGGATTGCTTAAACAGCCTAGATTGAAGGATCCCGTTGCTTCAAGTTGTTCCCTGGCACAAACCAATCCTGCAAACACACGTGTGCGGATGTTTGTTTGCTCTGCCGGAAACCAGCCGACAAACCAAACTGCTCCTAGCCAGTCCGAAATAGCAAGAGGGAGAAGCACAAATCAGCATTCAAGGGGTGGTCCTCCTCAATCTTCAATCATACGCTCCAGCAACCTGTTTGGTCCTCACACAAGGTTACTTCGAAGTTGCAACCCCATCAAATAGATTGGGTCAATGCTTTAATTTTCGAATGGCCGTTGGGAACAAAGCCAAGCGGACCCTTTGCACTGGACGGGAAACAATAAAACGGACCGGCCACCAAGGAATTAGGTAGACCAGAGCGCGTACCGCGAAGCTCCCCTGAAGGATAGTTTTCTCACTGAAAGGGAAGCCGCCTCTGCTTCATTCGCAAATTAATTCAAAGTCCCTCTCGCTTCCTGAGTTGATTGGCCAAAAAAAGTCCAAACTTTTTGTTTACCACCAAAATGGTCTTCCCAAAAAGTATAAAGTCCATGAACTCAGGAAGTGAGCCCTAGTGAAAAAACCTGGTTTAGTGCAAAACCCTTTGAACATATCGCCGCGCTGTGCCAATAGCTGCTTGTGAACTCACTGAATAGCACTGTCACTTCCATGCCTGTTTGTTTGCTTGGGTCGCAACTCACCAGGGTGACAAAACTAGAGACCCGTCTCAATGTTTAGATTCAAGTTGGCTACCTTTTAACAGAGCTTCATAACATAATAATAACAATACCAATAATGATGAAAGACAATTACTGATAATACCAATACTGATAATACTAGTAATAGTAAAAGTAATAGTAAGAGTAATAACAATAACAAGAATAAGTAGTAATAATAGACATAATAAATACAATATAACAATAACAAATAAATAACAATAATGAACATAGTATTGATAATAGTAATTAAATAATAATAGTACATCTAATAATGAATAATAATAATCATAAGGATAATAAAAATGATAATAATAAGTCATAATCATGAAAATCAATAAACACAAAAACAACAATAAACTACGAATAACAATATTAATAATAATACTAATAAGCATAATAATCATGATGATAATACATCTATATATATATATGTATACTACATATATGCAACGAGTCCTTACGTTTGACACGTGCTCAAAAGCTGAGTAGAACACCCGGTTCCGACAAAACGCTTCAAGGCTTGACCAAGCCTAACCATGGCACAGCTCGAGCTTTTGTCTCTCGACCCACTTCCCTTGGGCTCGCTGCCGGGCTCGCCTGGGATGGTATCCTGACAACAAATTTGGGCAAGTGTCAATATAGGAACTTGGATCCCTAAAACGGAGAGTTTCCGTTTGGAACTAAGCCAACCTTCACAGGGTGTTGAGCCTCGAAACACGAGCCACATCCTTTTCGGGAGCCCTTTATGGTCGCAAATTCCCAAAGCTCGCGGAAAAACCTGGTCGTCCTCCTTTCGCAATACCCGGTTTCTCAAACGATTAATTCAACCCCCAACCCAAACCACACCCAACACACATACATAGCGACTGTGTGGCCATAAGGGTCATGTATCCAACTTCTCGCGTACTGTTGGTGTCAATCGCCCATAGAGTCTGAAGCCAGCGGATTCTCAACAGGGGTCGATGCTGGGAGTACTTGGGCTTGTCTCCTCAAAGAAATGGAACTCACACATCTTCTCCTCACAAAAAAGTGGAACCCCTTGGCCGGAGGGAAGCCACGAATCCAACCAGTTTTCTTCGGGGTCACACATGGCCATGGGTCAACATCCAAATCGGTTAGCCCCCGATGAAGATCCAAATCCAACCACTGAAGTAGATTCTGAAGTGGGTGGTGCACCTTGCCCAAAATGGGATCCCAAAACGGCTTTGACAGCCACAGCCACATATGTTTGGAGCCATCGGCTTGCTGAGAAG